GCCAGAGGGAACAGAGAGGAAAGAGGAAAGGGGAGAGGAGAGGAGGAGAGGAAAGGTGTCAGGTCCGAAGGTGAGTGTCAGAGCGGACGGGAGAAGGGTAGGAGAATGACAGAAGGGTGGAGGTGTTGTGAGGAGGAAGAGGAGGAGTGGGAGGAAGAGTAGGAGGAGGGTGGCGAGAGGAGTGGTGTTCAGTCTGAGGTGAGTATCAGAGCAGACGGAGATAGGACAGGAGAAGGATGGAGGTGTGGAGGTGGCATGAGGGGTGAGAGGAGGTGTGGTGTCAGGACCGAAGGTGAATATCGGAAGAACGGACAGCGGTAGGGTAGGACTCCGGAGGTGGTGAAGGTGGAGGTCCGGGAGTCGGTTGGGATTGGGTATGCACGGATATGACAGGACCCCAGAAATGATATCCCCGAACATGGAAGAGCTACTCAGTCTGGAAACCAGCCTGGCTCAGGAGGACCTTATCCAAAGTTGGAGCACATATCTGCGCAAGGACCCAGCGAAAGGAGCCTTTGTGGTTACCAGGGCATGGTCTAACGCCGTAGACAAGTTAGACCTATCATGTAACATGGATATCATAGATGAAGATCAAGAGGAAAAGTGCATGACAAGTTTATGGTTGGGTTTAGCCCCGAGAACAGCTGAGGAATTCCGTCAGGCTTACTCCATGGACGAGGAATTCAGGGACATATACCACAAAACCCTTAATGGCGGTGTAGCAGGGGGTGCCTACCAAGTGTCAGAGGAAGGGTTGCTACTTTGGGATGACCCACAAACCAACCGACACCTATGTGTCCCAAGAAGTCTGAGGACCACGATCCTCAAGGAAATTCATGACACCCCTCATGAGGCCACTCATGTGGGCATAGAAAGGACACTCAAGTGCCTGAAATCTAAGTGCTATTGGAAGGACCTTGGAAAGGATACTTGACATTATGTGGGAACTTGCGATGTCTGCCAAAAGATCAAGCATGACAGAGGCAAAACACCGGGTCTGCTGAAGCCCTTGCCTGTCCCAGACTTGCCATACCACACAATAACCTTGGATTTCATGATGGGATTACCCCCTCCTAAAGGGACCATGCAGCCAGACACCATCTTGGTAGTGGTAGACAAGTTCACGAGATATGGGCATTTTATCCCATGCTCCTCCACCACAGACACGACAGGCACTGCAGATTTATTATGGTGCCATGTAATTAAACATGTGGGGTTGCCTGCAGCAATAGTCAGCGATCAGGATCCTCATTTTCTCTCGACGTTCTGGTCATCCTTAGCACATCACTTTGACACTAAACTGGCGATGTCTTCAGCTGTGCACCCGCAAACGGACAGACAGACAGAGATAATGAACCAGCAATTGGAAGTCATGTTACGAGCTTATGTCAATAAGGACAGGGATGACTGGCATGAATTCTTGGACGTTCTGATGTTAGCGTACAATAATAGTCCTCACACTACTACGGGAGAAGCTCCTGCTACATTATTGATGGGTTTCCGACCCCGTCTGCCCAGCTCATTCCTAATTCCCAAGGAGTCCCTCAACATCAAAGCAGAGGAAAGAGTGGACGTGTTGAACGTATGCAGAAGATGGGCTTGAGAAGCGATCCATCTGGCACAGCTGCATCAAGTCAGAGTGCACAATGCCAAACACAGGAGCATAACGTATGAAGTGGGAGACTTAGTACTGATCGATCCTCATAAACTCAACCTTGTGGAAGTAAAGGGCACTGGGAGGAAGCTAATGCAGAGACACCTTGGACCATTCAAGGTGACAGAGGTGATAAATGAGAATGCCTACCAATTAAAACTTCCTGACTCCTGCCCTATGCATAACGTGGTGAATGTAGTGCACCTAAGGTGTTAGAACGGGCGGATTCAGACGACTCCAGAGTGGAATCGGAGACTTAGCGTGGAGAGACCTTGGCCTCAGCGACTCAAGCGGAGCGCTGTGCCATTGCTGTTTGTCCATTTGGTCCTTAATTTCACAGTAGGTGAGCAGGAAGTCTCTAGGGGGCATTTCAGGTCGTAACTTGGCGGGAGGTCGGCGGGAGAGTACCAGAGGGGAGAGAGAGGAGAAAGAGAAGAGGGAAGGAGTGGCGGAAAGGGGCGGTGTTCGGTCTGAGGTGAGTATTGGAGTGGATGGAGATAGGGGAGGAGAGGGAAGGAGGAGTGGAGGTAAAAGGAGGTGTGTTGCCAGGACCGAAGGTGAGTATTGGAGCAGGCAGCAGTAGGGTAGGGCTCCGGAGGTGAAAAGGGAGGAGGTCCGGAAGTCGGGTCGGGGTCGGGTATGCACAGATATGACGTAAGGCCTTATCGTTCACCTGGTGACATCTCAAGACCATTACTGTCCAACCCCAGGGATGATATAAAAGCCTCAGAAGAGTTTGAGGTAGAAGAGGTGGTGGGGCACAGGAAGTGGAAAGGGAAACTCCTGTACAGGGTGAGGTGGAAAGGATATGGGGTGCAAGAAGACACCTGGGCAACCGAAAGAGACCTCCAAAACGCCCCTGAGATCCTCGGAAGGTATAGATCAAAGGCGGGCCTGAGCAGACGCAAATAAGTGCCCACTTCCCAATCGAGTATTCACATGAAGTTGATTAGTGGCACATGATCAGGGTACACTTCGATCATCTTCCATCTCCATCGTTTTTCTTCTCGCGATCCCATCAATGAATCTAACTGGCAATGTCTCTCAGACTGGCAAGTATGAGCTGCAGGCCCACCCCACATAACTCCATTGTGATCACGGATGAACACAGACAGGACTGCCCAGGTCTTGAGGCAGCTGAAGTATCGTCTGCGCCCTTCAAGAGAGCCCCAACTGACCCCATGTGGTTAAACAGGCAGTATTAGAACGGGCAGATTTGGACAACTCCGGAGTGGAATCAGAGACTTAGTGTGGAAGGACCTTGGCCTCAGCGACTCAGGTAGAGCGCTGTGCCATTGCTGGTTGTCCTAGGGGTCCCTAATTTCAGATCTAGCAGAGGGAAAGTCTCTTGGGGGCATTTCAGGTCGATTTTGGACTGAGGTTACAAGTTACTATGTACATTGTATATAAGGAGGGGTCCGGAATCAAAAGGAGCAAGGGTACTCCGAAAGGAGACAAAGGGAGCTGAAAGGAGGAAATGTCAGGAACGTGCCAGAAGCGTATCCAGGTGACCCATGAGGCATGCGAAGTCGTCTGGGCTCGTAAGGTCAGAGGGGTGGGACTTTCAGCTTCAGTGACTCGGGTGGAGCGCTGCGCTTCGTTCTTATGTTGGTGTCCCAATTTCAGACAGAAGCCTTACAATGAGGATAAGAGTTTAGAGGGGGAATCCAAGTCAATATACGAACTGAGGTACATCCGGTGTAACCTACATGCATTATAAACACAAGTAACTAAATGAGACCGGCCTGGAAGGAGTGGCGGATCAAGTGCGATATTAATGAATGAAGAAAGGAACAAATAATCAATATCGGCAAACTTGGTCAACAAAAGGCAAGCAAGGAACAATAGGAGGAACAATAGTCCACAAGCAGACAAAAGAGAAAGGGCCATCCGGCCGTCTAGCAAGCTGTCCGGCTGGGGGCAGACAACAATGAAGCGGGCAACCTAGGTTGGTAGGTACGTGCATGAGGGAGGAAGTGCGGATGAGGGTGACAGGTGGACGGATGGGTGGACGGATGATGATGATAGCGGGAGGGATGGACCAAGTGGCACTAGGACATGTAGAGGGAAGTGATGGATATGTCGGGTCATGACAGAACAACACCGAGGGTCAAGGGTTTGACTCAATGGCGTTTCCCAAAGGAGGAGTGAAGGGCCAAGGCCATCAATTTGTTATTGACCATGTCATTGTGACGAAAGGCTGAAGCCCTCAGGCAAATGATCGATGATATCCTCGTAGTGGGAGGTGACATCACGGTTCCAATCTGTCAGGGCACGCCCGCCTGACCTGGCCCCACCTAACCCGGTGCCCCACCATCCACTCCTCTTGACCTCCCCCCTCTTCCCCTTTTCTCCCTTCCCTTCCTTCCTCTCCTTCTTTTCTATTCTCTCTCCTCTTTATTCCTTTCTTATCACACGGACGACTTCCTTTGTATCAATGTACCATTGACCCGGCTGCAGCGTAACGCGCCCGAACCCGGACACACCGGACGACCCCCCACACACCGGACGCTCCTAGGACCTCTTACGGAGGTACCCAGACGGAGGTGGCTGTGTGCTCGGATGACGTGGCGCTTCCCACGTGGCCTTCAACCACATGTATATAAACACAGCCTAAGTGGGAACTGAGAAGCAACCTTCTTCTCACATTTCCCACTTTAGGCAAGTAGCTTACACTTCCCTTGATAATGACAATAACACATTTCCCACTTTAGTCTTAGTGGCCAGGGACCCTTGTCTGCTTCGGGCCCGCTGCTACGCGCGCCCGCGTCATACCTACCGGACCCTCAGCCTCGGGCGATACACCTGGGCGCTCTCGACCCCGGGTCGGTCCCTGACACAATCCTCACAGTTGTCAATGCTACGGCTAATTGGTGTCCCCCCCTGAAGATGGCGACTGGCAGTGCACTCTCTATCCTCGATGAGGTCAAGGTTGGCTATGATTTGTGCCTGGCCATGAATGAAAGCTGGGACTAGGTTGCCCCACATAGAAGTTCAAGGAGAACAAGAGGGAATGGGCTGATTTTGGTCAATATGTAGTAGATATGGTGGCTGAGGTGATTTCAGCCATAGAATCATATGACATGTCAGCAGTAATAGGAGGGCTAAAGCGGGAGCTCAGTCTTCCGTAAATGAAGAACTGAATTACTATGTTTAGTACTAACCTAAAGCGGGAGCTATAGTACAGAAGAGTACAGAGTAAGTAATGTAACAACTAACTAAAAGCAATGATACTAACCTCAGTCTCCGTAAATGAAAAACTGAGGAGAAAAGGAAAGTAGAGCGAAAACAGTATATACAATTATATACATTGTGTCATGAGGCAAATACGGATGTAAGAGGGATCATGTGGTGTTGGTTGGTAAGTCATGGGTCGTTGTTACTCCAACAAGCAGAGGAGGCAAAGCCGTGGGTAGAAAGCGCTAAAAAGCTTGACAAGTAAGCTGTATTTGTTCCTGGTATTCTTTGATATCGTTGTTTACGTCAAATCTCAGCGCGCTACAGAAGATTAAGTCGAAAATCGAACAAAGACTCAAAAAAATAGAGAAACGACCGACTTTCGTAAATGCATTGTCCTACTTGAAAGACCCAGGAAGGATCAGTGGCCTAAAGAAAGATTTTGACAAAACTTTGGTATCGTTTCAGGTAGCTATCCCTCCAGTATCGTTCCATAACCATACTGATTTTTGGCCGGTGCAGGTCAGGACGAACTTGATAACTGGCGCCAAGTTAGCGGCCATAGAACGTCGCCTACATGATGACAGAATTCTCGATAGTCTCCGAGATCCTTCTATTGTCCGCGAAAATCCAACCCAAGCATGCCTGGAAGGCACTAGGGTTGATCTGATTGAGCATATCATGACGTGGTGTCGCAACACTGGGGATAGCGAGAACCAGCTAATGCTGTTGACTGCTGTGGCCGGTGCTGGCAAGACTTCGATTGTACTCACGATAGCAGAACGATGTGCCAGTGAAGGGGACGTTACCCTGTTACTGCGCTTCTTCTTTAAAGCGGGCGAACGGTCATGGCCTGATTTTCTATTCAGCAGCATAGCTCGAGCTTTGGCAGACCATGACCCTGTTTACCGCACTTTCATTACCTCTGCTCTGCGAAACGACCCAACAGCCTCGTTCGCGATGCAATTCGAGAAATTGGTTGCTCCGCCTCTGCTCCATAAACCTCCGCCTTCCGACCGACCTGTGATCATCATCATCGATGCTTTGGATGAATGTGACAAGGAAGTGTTTGAGTCTCTTGCTGAAATTCTTGGGGACGAGGTGCCCAGACTACCATCTTCCATCAAATACTTCATCACATCGAGACAATTTGACCTCGTGAATCGCTACCTCTCCCCCAATCACCCAATTGATCGTCTCACTATTGATCTCTGGATGAGGCAAATGTGCAGGACTGTGCTAAATTCATATGCTTCCAGCTGCAAAAGCTAAAGAAGTTACATCGGGATTTACGGCGTCATCTTCAGGATGAGGATAAAATGGTACAAAAGATCTCGGAACGCGCAAATGGCTTGTTTATCTGGATCAGCACCATCTTTCGCTACATGAAGACAGCCAACAAGGATCCTGTGAGGGCACTGGAAAGTCTGCTGGATGCTGGTGCCAAACGACCAGCGGTCCCTGCCGAGAAGATGATGGATGACTTGTATACAAGCATTTTGAACCAGTGTGCTTGGGAGGATGAAGATTTTGCTCACGATTACCCAGTCGTGATGGGAGCCATCTTCGTTGCTCAGGAGCCTCTGTCCATCACAGCCTGGGACACAATTTTGTCGCCTTTCCTCAAGTCTTCTGTTCGATATGTGTTAGCTGAACTTGCGCCTCTCCTCTCAGGAGTTGAGGATAACTGCACTCCGGTTCGCATCTTACACCAGTCTTTCCGCGATTTTATTGTCGATCGGATCAATTCCTCAATCAGCCCTCATTGCAGTCCAGTAGGTGTGGAGACAGAGAATGCCAGGGTTGCCCTGCGATGTATCGAGATCCTGAACCAGGATCTCTGCTCTGCACGGGGCTTAGGACTGATTGAAAATTTGTCCGAAACAGACGAAATGCCGCGCATTCCTCCAAAGGAGTTATCTGAGCAGTTTCATTATGCATGTCGCCATGTTGTCTATCACCTCAGTGGAGTCCAGGAACCGTCAGAGGGGTTTGCTAGGTCAGTTGGTATGTTTTTGAGTCAGGAAGCAACCCGCTGGACGGGAGAATGGAAACCTATGTCAGTATCTCTTCACTCCCCGAGTGGGCTAAGGTATGGGATATCAACAAAATGCGTTAATGAAACTACCTCATGATCTTATCCAGTTGGCTGTTGTCCACAGGTCGAAAGATGCTGTCAGCACCCTGGCTGATGTGCTTACCCAACTTTGCCAGAATTTGAGATTTTGTTCAAGATTCCAGGAGGCATATGAGACAGCAAACGATTCTGTTGTACTCTGCCGTTACCTTTTTTTCTGTGGACTCAGATTTCTACTTGGCTGAGTCACTCAACAGTCTATATATCGCTTTGTCTAATCTTGGACGGCACTCGGAGGCACTCCCATTCATTGAAGAAAGCGTCGAACTCTGCCACCAGTTAGTTGCCATTCACCCAGGATCATACACACCGGATTTGGCCATGTCACTCAACAATCTATATAACTCTCTTTCAGATCTCGGACGGCACTCGGAGGCACTCCCATTCATCGAAGAATGTGTCAAAATCCGGTGCCAGCTAGTTGGCGTTAACCCAGGAGCATACACCCCAAAATTGGTCAATTCAGTCGAGAATCTCTTTCGAATCTGATGTTGGCGCAAATGGTGGTGACTTGGGGGAAAATGTAAGAGGTACAACAAACTGATTATCTCCCCAAGAATTAAGTATATGTGTCTGTCAAATCGTCGCGATTGTATTCGAATGGAGCATGAAGTCCGAAATGTGGTGACGTCAATGGTGGCTAACTTGAGTGTGTCGGATTCGACTCAGCAAACTTGGCGCAGATCCCCACGTCCCCACAACCCCTAACTGTTGTAGTATGACGTCAGTGCTTTACTCAATGAGGCATGGTTGGGACCTCCAAGGTGGCTTGATCGCTGCCTCCTCGCGTAGGTTGAATTTCAACAAAAAATCCCCAGCCCGAATCGCATCGAAGCCACACCAAGCACCTTACATTTCCTTCCGAATTCTTACACTTGAAACACAGAGTGTCGGATGCAACGGTAATGGGAGCACTCAGCATGGGCACCGTCGTGACCCCACGCGACTCTTGCGCGACTCTGGACTGGCGAAGCAATAGGCGTATGGGCATCCCCCTACTATTGTTAAATTCCTACTCCCAGGAATCGGCATACGCCTCCTCAGCTCGCTTTCTATATTCGAACGTGCGTCAGCATAAGTCCGCTGATTACCTGAGGATGTGATACAGAGATGGGCGAGTGGACAGCGGTGAGAAGAGTACAAGTTGGGCAGCAAGCGAAAAGAACTGAAGGGGAACGTACTCGGCGTAATGCTTGGCCTCTGTGCAGCGCAACAGCGTCTGACTCCCTCGCCAGAATTAAGGGAGTCGTCTCAAAATATCTTCCGGTGCAGATTCGGAGCCAAAATCCACCGTTTTGGCAGCTGTGCGAATGGCAACGTGGAAGTCTAAGGGGAAGGAGACGGAATCAGAACAGGAGAATGGGAAGTTGTATTCAAAACGAGTGTTGGCGGAGGGTGAAATCATAAAGGAGAGATGTACATGTGTCGTCAACTTGCCAACGTGGAAGTGGATTGATTATCAATCGCAGTACAGTGTTATACAGAAAGCCACAGATATCAATTGTACTAAATAAATACCTATGGCTGGATCATGGTACTCTGGATCTGGGTCGAGCCTAGGTAGTGACCAGCTTCTTAGGCTGAGCCCGCCACTCATGAGGGCAAGCACCTCAACATCATACGTTGCATCATACACAAGTAGACACTGACGGTCCGAGAAACGCACCGACGAGGCTTGACAGCAGTTGGATATTCTTCCCACGCCCTTCCGATAAACGTTCGTTCATGCGGGTTCACACATATGTAATGCACGCTCCCAAGGAAACACCGCAATCGCAGGGACCTCACGATCTTACAACCACCACCAGTCCCGTCTTCGGGCCCCGACGTCGTAGCGGGTAGGTTTCCTAAATCATTCAACCTTGCAAATCTTGATGGGAGTTCAATAGAGTCTTGTAATTACTGGCCATCATAGATACCACATATCCGTTCCTGGGACCAACCATTGCGTTAGGTCCAATACACTTTTGCGCCATTCCAAGTTCTGTCCCGGGGCCTGCAATCTAACCAACCCGGCGCCCAGTCTTTTTTTTAGTGGTGCTGCAGTGTCCCCTAACTTGTTCTTGCTTCACCGCTACCCAAGTTCCCTGGTTTGCGTTCAGAAACGATCAAAATCGCCTGAGCTATTATTAGACACGAAGAATGCCTGTACTTCCTGATGGCACGGTGAGTGATCCTGTGTCTACTTATGGTCGGAATCTTCTTAATATATCCACCTCTCAGTACATCATTAGGAATGTTCGCCAGAAGACTCTCGTGTTAGCCGTCAGCATGGGGACGATTGCCCAGTGCATCATCGAGTCGGAAATTTCAAAGGGTATTTTTGGCGACGCTAAATTCCAGAAAGAGGTATTCTCGTCATACTTGTTTTGAACTTTTAAGCTGAGGTCCCTTCACCAGATTAGCATTCAGTATAGTCCCCATTCCGAGGGGTACAAAATATCGGTGCTCGATTCGTTCAACCAGCGGCCGAGGGTTGCTTTCCCCCCCGAATCGACGGACTATCCCATGAATTTATGTTCTGTGAGTTTCTGTGTCGAATTCTGCTGGGATCTTCAGCACATCCCCTCCTGCTCCACATCCAGTTGAGGAAGGACATGTGTTCGACGACTGGAGATTGACTTGCCATGATGATGGCTACAAGTACAGGTAAATGTCATGGCCATCTAGTTAACCCCAACCCGCCCAAGGCCCCCTTCACTGATTATTGTCCCTTGAGAAGTATCGGTCTCCGTGACGGCCGGGTCCTCTCTGGGAAGCGAGGGGTAACCACTGTGCGTCTTCCCTCGCCACACCCTCACCCTCGCCACCCTTTCCTAACAGGATCCTCGCGATCCCCGCTGCTATCAGTGGGATCTCCGAAAAGTCGCAGAAATCACGGATCTACAGAAGGTGAATATAAACATATAGCATAGAGTCTTCGGAAGGGTTCATTCAATAATCCCTGCCTTCCCTTTTTCTTGCCGACCCTTGTCTCCCTACACTTTGACACCTTCTTCCTTCACTTTGGCCTCCCTGTAGTGGACGTTTGAGAAGATCAGAGGCCCGCCGAAGCCGATCAATGTGGCTTCGCCCATCAACACTTCTAAAACTGACCAATACACCCACAGATCAACTCCTGCATCGTCCATCACCAGTGCATGGACGAGACATGACCCTCAAGATGAGAGTGACATAAAGCCTCCTGATCTGAAACGGCGTCAAGCCCAACTTCATTTGGAGAGGCAACACGGTGCGGAAGCGTTCGAGTTACTTCAGCGCGAGTACGTACGAGCGATTTCTGACTCTATTCTCAATAACGGTGATTCTTAACTGGATGAAACGACGCTTAGAAATTTCATGCTTACGAATCTTGAGAAAGGACACCAGCTTGGGTTCGCCAACAAGCTTCGGGATGGAGCCGGTGCCATGGTCCGGCCAAGCTCTGATTGGGAGGTTCGATTCAAAAATCATCTCATTTTATTAATGCACTCAATCGAGTTTTTCCATGCGCATCATCACCCACCCGATGACGTTGTTTCTTCCCCTTCTTCTTCTGTCACTCCCAGTGCTGGACAATCGAGCCAATCATAAAGACCGAAAATTGTCTTAACCTCAGCCGAAGATTACTTGCTATGGCCATCACAGCGATGAGCTTCAAACCAGAATCTAGCTCAGAATCGAAACGTCAGCGAGTCTTCCGCTTGTTATGGAATGATCATGGATCCCGATACGTCCTCGGGTATGAGTCACCGACTCGACATGGACAAACCGTTATGTTTATGGAACGACTTCTCTCCACCCCCTCCACCTCTGCCGCCGCCCCTGGCCTCTCTGATCCAATGGCTCTCAATACTATCACCATGAAGAATCCGGATTGCGGTGAACACTGGGAATTGAAGCAAGTGCAGAGTGGCGCATATATGTATGTGTGTTTCTTGGCAACACGCCTGTCTTGAAGTCTTCACTTTTTGGTTTTTGGAAAGATTTACCGTGCCTGGGACGGGGCTGGTCTTAGCAGTTAGAGATGGTGTTGTAAGTTTGCATGGTCTCTTCTTCTTCCTCGATGAACACATAACTTATTCAGTCCTCACCGATGCAGGTCCGACTTGAATTTTCTCGAGGTCTTCCTACTCAAGAAGTGAGTCTTAGTCAACTAATCGCATGTTCATCCGGGGTTATTCCTCCTTCGATACTAAGGAAATTTTATGCTTCAGTGGTTAATCACCCGAGGTCCGTGAAAGGGAATTGTATACATTGTGCATAGAATTATAGACATCTACATGTAAAACGCTTGTCCGGCAGTCAGGCGAAAGATCTGGATCTGATAGCAAAAAATTTCGTTTGGGCCTTTGGCAACTCTCTGCACTTTAATATGTATCTCGCCGATCATGGCATATGCACTAGCGGCCTTGTAGTCGCAGATAGTCAACAGCAACAATGGCGTATTCTAGGGTTTTTGCTTTCTTGTACTCGGGAATATAGGCAGGGACCAGGGATACAGCGCGAATATAGAATAGGGTGGCCAAAAAGAACCTCGTCCCTTTCATCCGCGTCGCATGGTTGATGGATTCCAACTTGAGTTGCCTCGCAAGTTCTGTCATTGCCTCCTTTGATCTCTAAATCTGCAGTCTGGAAGGAGCTCCAAGACTCTAGCACGGCTGCGAAGCGTGAGGATCGTTGGGCGGGATCCAGGATTCCCGTTTGGAATACTTAGGATGGGGGCCCGAGCGAGTGGAGGGCCGTCCACATGCAGCAACGGGGGGTGTTAGATTCTTGATGGATGCATTGTGCAGGCTGATTTCTCTTGTACCAAATAAGCCACAAGTCATTTAGGAAGCTGGGAAACGCAACGAAGGGAGAGAGAGGAAGACGCGAGGTCTGAAGTGGGACCGAGTCGGTCGAATATAGACCATTAGCGCCTCGGAATGAGGTCGGGATTGGAAAGAGGGGCACGCAGCACTTCGAGCGAATCGGTCAAATGTTGGGTGTTTAATACCGGATCAACGGTAGCTAACTGTCGGTAGAGTTGGACAATTTCTTGAGCACTTCGGAGTCTCGATCAAGTTCGGAGAGAGTGGAATAGAGATTGTTGAGCGACATTAGCTAAATGTGTAGCAGATAATCGTAATCCTGGATTAACGGCGGCTAGCTGGCGTCCTAGTTTGACGCTTTCTTCGATGCATGGAAGGGCCTCGCAGTGCCGTCCAAGAGCACCATGTAGATTGTTGCCAAATATAGGGTGTGTGATCCTGGGTGGATGGAAGCTAGTCGGCGTCCAAGTTTGACGCTCTCTTGGATAAATGGAAGTGCCTCGGAAAGAGCCCCACATATATTGTTGAGTGATGCGGCCAGATGTAGAACGTGCGATCCTGGGTGAATGGCAGCTAACTGGCGTCGGAGTTTGACGCTTTCCTCGATGGGTGGAAGCGTCTCAGAGTGCCGTCTGAGAGAGGAAAATGCGAGTGAAAACTGGGAGGGGGAACGCAGAGAATGACGAAAAGGTGATAAACCACTTTGCACTCCCCCGTTCACCCAAGAGGCCGTCAGACCATTTGAGAACGGACAAGTCCCTCTGCATTGCTCTCTAGTGCTGCGTGATATCAGACGGTGAGAAACCAACCGGAAGAAGAGTGCCTTCCATAGGGAGACAATTGTCGTGAGATCGACTAAATTCCCCCTCAAATGAGCGCGGTTTACGCTGAAACCAAAGTCAACAGTGCTGGTGGTGGGTCTTGCCGTGTCCATTTTTTGGGGAAAGGGGTAAAACTGCACGGGAGATTAGTGGAAGATGACCTCAAATTGACTTGGACCTCGGGTATTTGCCTCGGAGGGTGGAGCTTGAGGTGAGATGATCTCTTACAGCTATCTATACATAGGACCACTTCATTTGGCAGCACACGATATATTTCGAAGGATTGCACCAGAGCCTGAAGCAACGAATCGATGAACGTGATGCTTGGCCTCTGGGCGGCCTATAAGACGGAATGATGGACTAGCGAGGTTGTCGCTCAGTCCGCTATGCGTGAACTGAGGAGAAGTCGTAAGGTCCAAAAAATTGGCGTATTATAGTCAGGCGCTATCAATGCGCACTGACTTTAGCAACAACTGATCCAAAAAAGGGAAACAAAGTAAATCTTAGCGCCGCAAGACTCAACATCAACAACGTGAGTTGGCCTCAGCGTACGCTTGTATCCCAAGAAATCTAACACGGCCCAGAGCCGAAAGCCACCATGCTGGCGGTTGCGCGAATGGCAACGGAAGTGAAGTGGAAGTTTGAGGGAAGGGAGACGGAATCAGAAACGGGGGAAATGGGAAGATGTATTCAAAATGAGTGACGGCAGAACTATGTGACAGCGGGATGGTGAAATTTAGGAGAGGTATCGATGCACATGTGTCGCCAACTTGCCAACGTGGGAGTGACTTGTGATTGGATTGATTATCAATCTCAGTCGCTGCGATCAAAGTGTCATGCAAGTCACCGATATTAATTGTACTAAATTAATAAATGTGGCTGGACCATGTACTTACTCTAGATCTGAGCCAAGCCTGCCACTCATGAGGGGAAGCACCTCTGGAGCATCAAACACGACATCATGCACGAGTAGACACTGACCGTCCGAGAAATGCATCGCAAGCTTTTGGAGGTTGGCAGCTGCATGGGTCTAGATTCTTCCCACGCCCCTTCCGATAAAACGTTCGTTGATGTGGGTTCATACATATCTAATGCATGCTCCCAAGGAAACACTGCATCGCAGGCACCCCACGATCTTACAACCACCACCAGTCCCGTCTTCCGATCCTGACGTCGTAGCGAGTAGTTTCCCTAAATCATTCAACCTTGCAAATCTTGATGGGATCTTGCAATCATAGATACCGCATATTCGTTCGTGGGGTCAACCATTGCATTAGGTCCCGTAAACTTTCGAAATTCATCCCCGGCACCCAGTTATTTTCAGTGGTGTTGCGGTCCAATCAGTGTCCCCTAACTTGTTCTTGTCTCACGGCTATCCAAGTTTCCTGTTTCACGCTCAGAAACAATCAAATTCGTCTGATTAGACACGAAGAATGCCCGTACTTCCTGATGACACCGTGAGTGATCCTGTGTCTATGGTCGGAATCTTCTTAACGTGTCCACGTCTCAGTACATCATTAGGAATGTTCGCCAGAAGGCTCTGGTGTTAGCTGCCAGCATGGGGACGATTGCCCAGTGCATCCTTGAGTCGGAAATCACTCTACCAAAGGGTCTTCCGGGCGACTCTAAATTCCAGAAAGAGGTATTCTTGTCATGTCTGTTTTGGACTTCTCAGCTGAGGTCCCTTCACTAGATTAGCATTCAGTATAGTCCCCATTCGGAGGGGTACAAAATATCGGTGCTCGATTCGTTCAACCACCGGCCGAGGGTTGCTTTCCCCTCCCGAATCGACGGACTATCCCATGAATTTATGTTCTGTGAGTTTATGTGTCGAATTCTGCTGGGACCTTCAGTACATCCCTCCTGCTCCACATCCAGTTGAGGAAGGACATGTGTTCGACGACTGGAGATTGACTTGCCATGATGGCCACAAGTACAGGTAAATGTCATGGCCATCTGGTCAACTCCCAACCCGTCCAAGGCTCCCTTCACTGATTGCTGTCCCTCGAGCAGCATCGGTCTCCGTGATGGCCGAGTCCTCTCTGGAAAGCGAGGGGACAGCACTGTACGTCTTCCCTCACCACACCGAAGTCACCCTTTCCTAACAGGATCCCCGCCATCCCTGTCGCTATCAGTGGGATCTCCGAAAAGTCGCAGGAATCACGGATCTACAGAAGGTGAATATAAACAGATAGCATAGAGCCTTCGGAAGAGTTCACTCAATTACCCCTGCCTTCCCTTTTTCTTGCCGATCCTTGTCTCCACACACTTTGACACCTTCTGCCTTCACTTTTGCCTGCCTTCAGTGGACGTTTGAGAAGATCGGAGACCTGCCGAAGCCGAACGCTGTAGCTTCGCCCATCACCACTTCGATAACTGATCAATACACCCACAGATCATCCCTTGCATCGTCCACCACCAATGCATGGAGGAGATATGACCCTCAAGATGAGTGTGACATAAAGCTTCTCGATCTGAAACGGCGTCAAGCCCAACTTCATTTGGAGAGACAACCTGGCGTGGGAGCGTTTGAGTTACTTCAGCGGGAGTACGTACTACCGATTTCTGACTCTATTCCCAATAACGGTGATTCTTAACTGGATGAAACGATGCTTAGAAATGTCATGCTTACGAATCTTGAGAAAGGACACCAGCTCGGGTTCGCCAACAAGCTTCGGGATGGAGCCGGTGCCATGGTTCGGCCAAGCTCTGATTGGGAGGTTTGCATCAAATATCATCTTATCTTATTAATGCACTCAATCGCGTTTTTCTACGGACATCATCATCCACCCAATTTGGCACAATGACATTGTCCCCCCCATCTTCTTCTGTCACTCCCAGTGCTGGACAATCGAGCCAATCATAAAGACTGATAAATGTCTTAACCTCAGCCGAAGATTACTTGCTATGGCCATTACAGCAATGAGCTTCAAACCGGAATCCAACTCAGAATCGAAACGTCGGCGAGTCTTCCGCTTGTTGTGGAATTATCATGGTTCTCGATACGTCCTCGGATATGAGTCACCAACGCGACATGGACAAAACGTTATGTTTATGGAACGTCATCTCACCGCCACCACCGCCACCCCTGGCCTCTCTGATGCAATGACTTTCAAAACTATCACTAAGAAGAATCCAGATTGCGGTGAACACTGGGAATTGAAGCAAGTGCAGAGTGGCACATATATGTATGTCTTTCCGGCAACACGTCTCTCTCACAGTCTTCATTTTTTTGGTTTTTGGAAAGATTTACCGTGCCTGGGACGGGGCTGGTCTTAGGAGTTAGAGATGGCATTGTAAGTTTGTATGGTCTCTTCTTCCTCCTCGATGAACACATAACTTAGTCAGTGTTCACCGATGCAGGTCCGACTTGAATTTGCTCGAGGTCTCCCTACTCAAGAAGTGAGTCTTATTAAACCAATCACATGTTCATCCGGGGTTGTTAAGACTTGTCTCTTCATGCTTCAGTGGTTAATCACCCGAGGTCCGTTACAGGGAATTGTACACGACGTGCCATAGAATTATAGATATCTACATGTAAAACACTCGCCCAGCAGCCAGGCGAAAGATTTGGATTTGATCGCAAATAAGTTCATTCGGACTCTTTGTACTTCAATATGTATCTTAGACTTGCTGATCATAGCACGTGTACTAGCGGTCCTAGGCCTGTAGTTGCAGGTAGTCAATGGCGTATTCTAAGATTTTTGCTTTTTCGTACTCCTTGTGAATATATGCGGGAACCAGGGATACAGCGCGAATATAGAATGGGGTGGCCGATCCTTTCCTCTGTGTCGTATGGTTTATGGGTTCCATTTTTTTGACTTGAGTTGCCTAGGGCGAGCAACATTGGGCGGAATCCAGGATTCCCTTTTGGAATATTTGGGATGGGGGGCCCGAGCGAGTTGAATGCGGTCCACAGGCAGCAACGGGGGTGTTAGATTCCTGATGCGTGTGTTGCACGGGCTAACTTACAGATCTCTTGAACCGAATAAGGCACAAGGAAATGTGTTTTTCATTCACGGCATGAAGAGCCAGTCACAATAAGAAGCCACAAGTCAGCTAGGAAGCTGGGAAACCTACTGTAGGGAGAGAGAGGAAGACGCGAGGTCTGAAGTGGAACTGAGTCGATCAAATGACCATCAGCGCCTTGGAATGACGTCTGGGATGGGAAAGAGCGGCACGAAGAATTTCGAGCGAATCCGTCAAATGTTGGGTGCATAATACCGGTCCAACGGTAGCTAGGAGTTGGACAGTTTCTTGATAAACGGGACCGCTTCGGAGTCTCGATCAAGTTCGGAGAGAGCGGATCATAGATTATGGAGTGACGTTAGCCAAATGTGGAGTGTATAATACTGAATTAACGGCGGCTAGATGGCGTCCTAGTTTGACGCTTCCTTTGGTACATGGAAGGGCATCAGAGTGCCGTCCAAGGTTGGAAAGAGCATCATATTGATTGTTGAGTGATGAAGCCAAATTCAAGGGTGTATGATCCACGGTGAATGGAAGCTAACTGGCGTCTGAGTTTGACGCTTTCCGAAGCGGACGTAGCCAAATTTGGGGCGCATGATCCTGGGTGGATGGTAGCTAACTGGTGATGGAGTTTGACGCTTCGATAAATGGAAGCGCCTTCTATTTAATATTACGAAGTCATAGAGGCTAGAGTCCTGCCTAGAAACGCCTCGAAGTGGAGTCCGGGTTTGGAAAGAGCATCGACCACCGAATGAAGCAAGATAGATGTAGACTAGCAACCCACAGAAAATGGAAGGAAACACGAAGCTGGCCTCATCCACAACCTCCACGGAGAGAGATGCATGTACAGAACAGCCCAAGTGCGAAGGGGCTGATCATAACCCCACAACTGAGTTGAAAAATTGGTCATCCGCACGCAGCGAGCTAGAATGCAAGAGGGTCCAGAATTGCGTACGATCAAGCAGCGCCAGTATTGTGGTGTGGCCTTTCAAGACGAGCATCGAAGCAAAATAATCAAAAGCAAGCGCCAAGGAGTCATGGAGGATTCCACTCGGTGTGGGAATTTTTTCCGAGTTCGTTCGGTCATGACATTGACAACAGAAAACACGATGCTTTGGCGGCCTTCCATGTGGCTATAGTGTGGACTTGCACGCGCCTGTCTTGAGTTGTATGTTGGCTCGACCCAGCTCGGACGTGCACGCGTCAGACGCTCACGTTTCCCTTCGCCTGGGTCGCCCACTTTTCATTCAGTGAGGGATTCGAACTTCAATAGCGGAACCCAATTTTATCTCGTCCGAGCTGCAATCACCGTTGCTAGTACTGCCGTCCTGTTCTGCTCAATGTGGGTTGGCACCTGGGCATCTATCCAATCTTTGTTGCCATACCTGTTTCCACTGGGACTATCATCTTTCTACCACGCGCTTCCAACCACAACCTCGTATTTTATTTCCTGTTTGATTTCTTTCACATTCATGCCATGAATGGTCCCTTTGCATTTCCAGCTTTGTCCAGTGATTCCCGACCGGCTAGCAGCGAAAAGAGACACCTCACTGCTTCCCGAGGCTCGAGTCGTCTCTTGCCTCAACGGGATCATTTTTCAGCAACGATCCTTCGGTACTCAAGGAGACATTCATTATCCCTGTCTTTCGTTCACTCTACTCCGGATATACTTAACCTGCAAATTTGAGGCTCACGGGTAGGGGCTATGTCTGTTTTTCACACCAAAATTTCCGCTTGCCACAACCCCCAGAGTGCCAATATTTGTTCGTGAGTGCACCTCCCTCAGATGATGGTCTTCTGGATCTTTCGCACATGCACTGCGCTTCCTCGGATATGGCGCCACTTTAGAATATGATATGACTCCACCCGCTTGTACCGACGCATGGTTCCATTTCCCTTGTACTTTCAACTATGGGTAACGACAGTGTTTATTTAACTCTAATCAGACGCGCAAGACCTCAAGGACAAACTTCCGAGCCTGCCACTCATAACCGCAAACACCTCCGAAACACGAGTCATTCTCACGTCCTGCCCGGATAGAAGCTGACAGCCCGAGGTGACAAGATAAAAGCCAACTTCCGCTGGAGACCCAACGTAGCCCCGGGCCACTACGGGCCCAAGGTGGCGTGGCCAGAACTGCTATTTCCCCTCGTTCAATCGCTGTCCTGTTCATTGTCTATCAAATATGGTCCTTCGTTTGTTCGACACGTATACCTCACTCGCGTGAAACTGAGATGAGAGTGTTAGCTTGATTTGTTATGAACCAACTAATAAATCATTATGCGCCGTGGCTCGCGCTATAAGTACAATAACAATAACATCAGACCACTCACAACGTGAATGCCAGTACGTACAACTGGGTTTACCCACTCACACAGTAATTCCGTCTTCTGGTGCTGATATCACAGCGAGTAATTTCCTTAAACCATTCAACCTTGCAAATGGGTGTTCGATAAGGTCTCATTATTACTGGCCGTCGTGGATACGGGATGCTTTAGGCTAACCATTCCGTTTGATCCAACACATTTCCGCGCCACTTCAAGTTCTGCCCTGCGCGTCTTCCACGAATTCAATCAATTTGGCACTCAGCCATTTATGAGGACTTCAACCGGTCAACTCACCTTGCTTTTATACCATCTAATTTCCCGGTTCATGAATTTTCTCGAGAATCATCAAACGGAAGTGTACACGATATGCGACAAAATTATATGTAAGAGGCTCAGCCACGGAGATCCAGATCCGATAGCAAGCGGTGCTCGGGGCCTCAATGTATATCGATACCTACAGACTCTATTGTACTAGAGTGCGTGCGTCGCCACGCTTAGACCCGCACTGCATGCGACGTGCAAATCATGCTGGAAACATGACGTCACTTTAACCGACCGAGTGACGAGATCCACTCTCAGGCTCAAGGCCATACTAATTGCCGGTAAAGGCCACCTACTAATCGTTGGGGGTTGCTTTCATCCGCACGCTTAGGACTGAATAAACATTGGGCTCAATTTTAACATTATCAATTCGTTTCTTGACACATCTATCGACAACCTGCGAGCAGCCTGCCGGTTATACAACCGTCCGAATCCAAATCTGGCTATCTGCGAATAAATGTTCGGTGGAGCATGACTTTATCCGTTGTCGTGTGAGGGGAATTAATTGCAAATGAGTTTCCGCCTCTCGTTTGTTCACATGGCTGGCCCTCATGAGCTGTCTTTATCCGGATTCAGGTAGTATTCCAATCTTGTAGTCGTCATGCATGATAAAACCGAATGATCACAACCGATGGATTAAGATCAAGTATACACGCACATCAATAATGTCAATGTTCTTAGGCCGCACACCGTACGTCCCGGAATGTCCATTCAGGGAGGGATGCATTATGCCCTCACTGCTCAACATCAATGGCCACTCACTCCCGCTCCAGCCGATCTGATCCTCTTGCGCTTCTCCATGTTATGTACTCGCCATGTTAATCGCATTACAATTCTAATGTTTACAAAATCATCGGGAGGGGGTACAAATGTTTTACAGTGGAAAGATACTCGAATGTGGGTACCAGTGAGTGGCGAGAAAGAAATCGTACTTTGCGCGGATATGCTAAACAACTTTACTGATATCGATGACGATTGGGGCTTTCATCCTTCCCTGGAGCAGAACTCGAGTCCCGTCCTTGCTGGACCGAGGGCGGTAGAATCCTGTGTTATGTGGCACTCGATCACCATACCAGGCATCCATGCTACGGTCCACGCTTCTCGGCTCAAATGAAAGAAAATGGGGTTGATATTCCTCGGGGAGGAAGAGAACTGATCTGCCATTGAACCATATTGTTGGCGTGGACTGATGACATTGTAGAAGTGGAATCCTTCCTGCAGCAGACGAATAGACTTCAACTGCCATGGTCGATTCGTTCATGCTGGGCGAGAGGTCGTAAAATGGACACTTGATCCCGCGCTCATCCGGGTCACGGCCTGCGTCCGCCTTGGAATGAGGTACATGTGGTGAGTCACCCTCTGCTAAAGGAAGATTGGGTCCAGTGGGAACAGGATCAGGGACAGAATATGAGCAACTGTGGAGACTGGTTGGATTTGTTATCCAAGAGACGAAATCTGTTACACGATATTGCGCAATGAATTCGCCAGTCCCTGTTGACCACGTAAAGGCCCAGTGTCCATCGAAAGCGCCAACATATCGTGCTCCAGGAGAGAACCCAAGCGTTTGACGGCGAGGAATGGCTAGCCTGGAATTAGATTGAGAGGATGGAGTGGAAAGGTCGATACGGGGAGAAGCGAGGAGCCGAATGGATGGGTGGCCCAAAACAGATACCAGTGTCATGTTGCGGTACCAAGGTTTTTCAATATCCCGCGGAACTCGTACGATAAATAACCCGTTATCTGACACTGCAGCTTCAGCGGGATAGGGACCAGCAGGGAGAGTGCCAACGTTCACAGGTGCCACATTACGGCTGAGTATAATGACACTCCCTTTGGTATCTTCCATAGCGACTTGGGGGCTGGCATGGATGAACTCAACCCAGGCCGGAGGGTTGGGTGAATCGTACCAGAATCGGGAGATCGGGCGCTGGTGGTTAATATCAGCGACTTCGATGGTACCGTTACCAAAGCCCACTGCAACATAGCGACCATCGAGAGAGATGGCTGCGCATGTCACAATCCCATTGCGAACGTCCGGATCATGGAATTCAGCTTTATGGTTCATCCCATCAGGATCCTTTGGCAATTCAAGTAACTTGGCCTCCATAAGCCGTCGGGTGCTGAGCGAATCCTTGCACAACGGAATTGGGTGGCTCGAAAACTCACTGGAAATACTGAAGATCTCGACTGGATCAGAGAGGTGGCCGTATAGCTTATAAGAGGATGACGAGGATGGGATAAAGGGAAGGACCGATCGATAGAGATGCCATGGACCACCTTTGTGAGTTGTGAGAGACCGAATTGCGGTTTCAGTTTCTCTCAGCAACTTAAATACATCGTGGTCCTATCGGAGTATCATCACATCGTTCAAACATAATATGAACAGTGTCTACTTACATTGAATGGAAGAAATTCTTCAGGTAGTGTCAAGCCTTCTGGTGACAACAGCGTGAAAGTAAGTGAACTCTGCGGTGTAAGGAGAGAGCGGAACGCATTCTGCAGTTCACTAGGTTCCTGCGAAAAAAGTTGCCGAGGGTCCAAATGTCTGAATAGGTATTCAACAGCGTATTGGAGATGATCGGGGAGATACATCTTTCTCTCCTCAAAATGCATCCATTTTTGTTCTGCTCCAAAAGGGGGATTTGTAGGTATCCCAAACAAATCCCCTTCACAACTATCATTGAAGAGTTGAAGGAGCGGCAGTCCAAGTAAATATCCTTTCGGATCATTAATAAAGAATACCTTATCATTTTCAGTACCAGTTGGTTTGCCCGATATAAATTCTTTGGCTGTTGCATGATAAAATTTTAAACCCTCCGTGTCTTGCAAAGAAAGGTCGACCATAGAGCTGATTGGTTCCAATATTGCATAAGTCTCAGCCTCGGGGATCTTCAGAACTTCCGATATAGAATGTATACTGAATGGCTTGTGTGCTGCAATAATTGTCCCAACCACTTGGAGGTATCTCTCAGCCGTCCTTTGACGAACCCCAGATGAATCGAGCATGTAAGCACGTTGAAGTATACGCAAGTACTCCGAGTTGACATCGCGAGGGGCATCAGTGAGATCCCGAAAATATCTGAACTCAGACTCGAGGGTTTCCCCACGATGAGTTCGCTGGCGGACTTCGCGGACCCGGATCGAGGCGATGACGGGCAATTCGCGACAGGCCAAAGCGAAGGCATCGAGATCGTCCTTTGATGGCTTCCACGTAGATTTTTCGATACGATCCTGAAGGCCTTCCTCCACTATGCAACGGACCGTGTGATCCATCTCAGGCTTTGCAATCATATCCACATTCTCACATGGTATGACAAGACCCCGGCGCCGAGCTCCATTCCAAGCCGACGTAACCTGCGACTCGGGACGGCAGCTGACTAAGACAGCAAATGTAGCCGGTAGTTCTTCAAGGAGAAGGACAAGCTTCATTAAAGACTCCAGTTCCTCCTGATCCCCACACTCGTCAAGTCCATCCAGGACGATGATGAGGCGCTCCTCCTCCAAGGAGAATACATGCCTGAGTTTACGCATAGGATCAATGACCCAGGCTCTCATCTGCTTCTCCAGAGCAGTGCCTGGAGCTATCCTCGATGGTGAAGGCTGACGCGCTGGTTGACGAAGTTGTCTGACAAGCAGGCTCTCGTACTCGGTACTGAATGATGCAAGCTGTCTTGCAAGAGTAGAGGGAAAGCGTTCGATCGAATCCAGGCCCCCCCCTTTTTGGTTTTTATCCCAGAAGAAAGATGCTGCTAAGCGGCCCTGATTGTAAAGAGTCAAGGCAACACTCATTGATATAGCTGTCTTTCCAATTCCGGGAGAGCCACACAACCAAACAAATCGATGGCCCACATCGTTCAATTGATGGAGTATTGAACCCTGAACCACAACGCATGTGCTGTCTAGGCATTCTGACTTGCTTTTCACCCTGGAATATTCCGCATCGGCTTTCGGGAGTTTTTCGAGTTCATCTGAAATACCATTGAACTTAAGCGGCAAAAATGGAGTAAGAGCAACAAACGGTTTGCTGATAACCGAACTATGTAGAGGAGATTCAGTGTTGTCGCAGCAACCTACGGGGTATGCACCGATTAGTCGTTAGACAGTCCGCATGCCGACGAGACGAACCGCAAAGCGGGAATTAGCATCACTAATAGAGGTCCTCACGTTGCTTATTTCTTGCGCGGTCTCAGTTGCTTGGATGACTTTCTTGGCAAGTTTTCGACGTTCCAGTGATTGGATTTTTTCTAATTGCTGATTGAGGGCGCTGGTACCAGGACTTGGTATTCGGATGAGTCTATAATAGAAACATACACATACAAGGTGAACTGTCGTATCAGGTCATCTATTTCGGGAGGAATCGGGCCGTTCCATAATTGAAGAGGTTGGAAGATCGTTTCACGAGCTTTCCGAACCTCACCATCCAATTCTTTAAGATTTTCGTCATTGTCGGCAATGGTCTGCATGGATGAAATGTGTACAAGAGAAATATCATCAGATCGCAAAAACATAAGCGAACCTCATAAATTTGGAGCCATGCTAGGAGCATATTCGGTATCTGGTCGAGATTTGGAATGGGAGAGAACTTAAGGGCAGAGGCAGCAGTCTGTAGGACAATCTTCGTGGCCTTGATGATTGTTTTCCTTCTGTCACCAGCATTGTCATGGATGGTGCGTTCGCTGGGTGTGTTGGTGTTCCTTTTGGAACGGGGAGGAGATACAGGCAAACCGGTAGGGGATGGCTGAAGGGGCGCAGATTGTCTGTGGTTGGATGTGCCCGGTCGATCGGCATTCCTCCACGGCAGCTTAGGCATGATGTGTCCCCAAAAAGGCTTAGCTCTCGAGCTACTATTGATTGTGGTAGTAGGAAGCCCAACACGAGATTCCTCGTATCTATCATGATCTCTGCGAGCTGTTCCGCCCGCCGTTGGAGGAGTGACCTGGATATCGGGAACAGGGCGGGGTAGTGCATGTGATGGGTCATTAGGCGTCCCAGAAGAGTCCCTTAATTTAAAAAGCCGAGAGAAACCCCCAGGGGACTGAGGCTTTGACATCGTTCAAGGGGGTGTGCAAAGCCAAACACGCCCACGTTCCTCAAAGGTCATGTGCTGGCGACAAACTTCACGAATAAATGTAAATACATGCATATTCCTCCAACAAGAGTGGCGACTCTTGGTACGGGGCAGTGAAGTGAAGCGGCGCAGTTTGATGGCCCAATAACCGCACTTCAAGATTGCTATTGTGTTCATCTACCCCACAACTGCTGTATTCACTTCCCCTTCTTTCATTCCCACTCGCTCTGACAGCCGTGCGACTATAGCCTTAGTGGTTATAGTCCTGCCTACCACGCGACACTACTCGCTATTCGCTTGTCAGGCCACTCGTGCCCGAATTTCCGCCAGCAGTGTGATACCGCGTGGACTCAGAATGATATTGAAAATCGATTGGATGGTGAAATGCGTATCTGCCTATATGGACCCTCATGAAGTCCAGGATCTGGCTCGGAAGGTTGGACGGGTGCTCCGTGAGCCTGGAAATTGACTTGCCCTCAATCTCCGTTTGGAAACGACCCGAGAACCGTCATTTCGTTGCTGGAGATGGGATTGTCATCACATATTGGGGATTCTCGTTGGTAATGTGATCTTCGAGGTTTGTAATGTCTGTGGGGCTATGTGGTGTGTTTATGAGGTGTGTCTGGGTTCGCTTTCTTCTGACCGATCTTTCCTGTTCCGTATTCTTTGACTTGCTTACGCTCTCTGCTGATATCGTGACTCGTGTGCGTACCCGTCAGTTCTTCATGCCATGCCAGATGTGCACTCAGTTTGTTCCTTTAAGCTGCTCCAAGCCTTTCGCGATACATCCTCCTGCAGGCCACTCGGGTTGGTCGTTTTCAATGTCGAATGATTTCCAAGTCTAATATAACGTTACAAAATATCAACTACACTGCACGGACAAGGTTCTGCTGAAGGGGGAGTGAAAGGAGCGTTGGGACTGGCAAGTGACGAAATCGGATGTTCTAACCAACCTGGCCAATATCGACGACGATTGGGGCCTTCATCTGGCCCTGGAGCAGAAAACGAGTCCCATCCTTGCTGGACCGAGGGCGGTAGAGGCGCATACTATCATCCGGCACTCGATCACCATACCAGGCCTCCGTGCTGTCGACGCGATTGGGGTCAATGATAATCGGTTGATACTTCAGAGGGACAACAAGTTCCGATCCGCCATTGAACAATATTTCTGGCGACGAGGAACGTTGGTGCAGTGGAACTCTTCCTAGAACGGACGAATGAGTGCGCGCACTCGGGGGATGCTGTAAAATGGGTGCCTGATCCAGGACTCATCTGAGTTGTGTCCCACATCTGTGGAATGCTGTGCAGCGTTTGCCTCGGGAAAGGTGGGTCCAGTGGATATAGGATCAGGAATGCGGTGTGGACAAGTGAGGGTGAAGGTAGAAGAATCCATAATCCAAGCACCGGGGTCCGTCACATGATAACGGGCAATGAACTCGCCTGACCCGGTTGACCAGATAAAAGCGCTGTGCCCAGCAAAAGCGCCAATATATCGTGCCCCTGGAGAAAATCCAAGAGTACGACGGTGAGGGATCGCTAGATTAGCATCAGAGTGGGAGAATCGGCTGGAGGGGTCAGAATCGGTGGGAGTGATTAGAGGAATCGAACCAGTCGAGGGAGTCGGGGGAGGCGAGGCAAGGGCCCGAATGTATGGGTCGCCCAAAACGGATATGAGTACTATGTTGTCGCACCAAGGTTTGTCAGGATTCCGTGCAACTCGTACTATAAACAATCCATCATCGGACACTGCGGTTCCAGCGGGATATGAGCCGGTGGGTAGCATGCCAAGGTTTAATGGTGGCACACCAGAACCAAGGATGGAGAGGTTCCCGTTGGTGTCCTCGGTAGCAACTTGGTTGTCACAGATGAACTCTACCCAGGCGGGAGGGCTAGGTGGGTCGCGCTGAAATCGTGAGACTGTAGTCTGATGGTCGATATCAGCAACCTCGATGATACCGCTAGCAAAACCAAGTGCAACATAGCGACCATCAGTGGAGAGTGCAGCACATGTCACAACACTGTTGCGAATGTCTCGTTCACGAAACTCAGTTTCGTAATCGATCTCCTCAACCCCATAGCGATCGATTTCCCTAGGAAAACCACCTAGCTTCGCCTCCATGAGCTCTTGGGCTATGAGCGAATCCTCGCTCAATGGGATTGTGTGCCCGGAAAACTCGCCAGAAATGGAGAAGATCCGGACGGGGTCAGAGAGGTGGCCATATAATTTGTAAATAGGTGATGAGGATGGGGTGAAAGGAAGGAATGATCGATAGAGATTCCATGGGGAATCTATGGATTCCCCACCTGCCACCACTCTAGATCCGAGACGCTGCCGTGCTCTTTCAACTTCACCCAGAAGTTTAATAGTATCAGAATGCTGTCAAATGTGACATTATATTATTCAAATAAATATGATATGCATGACTTACTTCGGATTGAAGCCATTCTTGAGGCACTTCAAACGGGCGCGTCATCAGGAGCGTGAATACATGCAAGTTTCGCGTAAGAAAGGAATTGAACTCCTGTTGCAATTCATTGGACTCTTGTGAGAAAAGTTCCGAGGGATCCAAGTGGCCGAGTAAAAAGTTGGCAGCATAAGTGAGGTATTTGAGATGGGGATAAACAAAATAAGAACGCAGCTGAGACGACGGCCAGAAATCTCTCCATTTCATTCTATCTCCTAAAGGAGGTTCAGTGGGTATCCCGAGTGTGTTCCGATCACAGCTGTCATTGAAAACTCGAAGGAGCGGCAGTCCAAGGAAATATCCTTTCACATCACTAATAAAGAAAACCCGGTCATTTGCATTACCGATTGGATCCCCCGTTATGAACTCCTTCACCATTGCATCACGGAATTTAAGATTCTCAGTGCTCTGCAAAGGGAGAATGGCCATTGAGCTGATTGGTTGCAGTATCGCATAGATCTCCGCCTCAGCGACACTGAGAAGGTGTGCCATGTCTTGCACACTGAGCGGCTCATGTGCCGCAACCATCGTGCCAACTACTTCGCGATACTTCTTGGCTATACTTAGACGAACTCCGGACGAGCCGACCATGTAGGCGCGTCGGAGTATGCGCAGGTGCTCTGACATAACGTTAACAGGTGGATCAATGAGATTGCGGAAGTACTCGAATTCAGATCGAAGGGTTTCACCACGACGTGTACTAAGATCCACATCTCGAACTCGGATTGAGGCAATAACAGGTAATCCACGACAAGCTGAAGTGAAACCATCGAGGTCTTCCTTTGATGGTTTCCAACTGGATCCGTTGATACTATCCCGAAGCCCATCCTCAACCATGCGACGTAGAGTGTGGAACTTCTCAGCCTCCGGGATTAAATCCACATCTTGACACGGTATGACAAGGCCCCGATTTCGAGCTTCTGTCCATGCCGACACAACTGGTGATTCCGGACGACAGCCGACGAATATAGCGAATGGGTCCGGAAGCTCAGCCAGGGAAAGTACGAGCTCCATGAGTGACTGGAGTGCCTCCTGATCACCACATTCGTTGAGACCATCTAAAACGATGATGAAGTGCTCCTCACTCAAGGACAGCAACTGTTCAAGCTCTCGCATAGGATCGATAACCCAGGCCTCCATCTGCTTCTTCAGAGTAGAACCCGGAACATCCTTCGGTGATGGCTGCTGTCGCAGATGCCTGACGAGCAAGTTCTCATAGTCTGCATTGAACAAGGCAAGCTGACGTGCGAGGGTGGATGGAAAATGTTCGATCGAATCGAGTCCCGTTCCTTTTTGAGTTATATCCCAGAAAAAAGACGCCGCCAAGCCACCCTGTTTGTCGAGGGTGGAGGCAATGCTCATTGATATAGCAGTCTTTCCAGTCCCCGGAGAGCCTCGTAACCATACAAATCGGTGCTTCCCTTTCTGTAACTGGTCGAGTATCGATGTCTGGATCCCAGCATGCGTGCCTTCCACGCATTCCGACTTGCTGCGAACAGCGTAGTAATCTGCATCCGTTTTATACAGTTTTGAGAGTTCATCTGAAATATAATTGAGTTAAAGCAGTGGAATTCAACCGAGAAAAAACGAACAATCCACCGATAACTGAATTGTGTGAAGGAGATTCAAAGTTGTCGCGACAGTCTATAGATTATGCCTCAGTCAGTCATCAATCAGTCAGAAAACGGACAAAACGAACTGCAAAACGCGAAATAACATCACCGACGCAGGACTTCACGTTACCAATCTCCTGAGATACCTCGGCCGCCAAGACCACCTTCCCGGCAAGCTTTTTACGCTTGAGCAATTCGATTCGCTCTAGCTGCCGTTTTAGGGCCCTATAACCAGAGTGAGTTGAAATTTGAATGAATGAACGATGAGCTGCGTGCACATACGAGTTGGATTGTTGGATCAAATCACCAACTTCAGGAGGAATCTGGCCCGTCCATAACTGGAGGGGCCGCAACATTGTTTCGTAGACTTCCCGAACCTCATTACCCAACTCTTTAAGATTTTCGTCGTTGTCGTCAACGATCTGCGTGGACGGAATAAAACGTGAGGAACATATTGGATCGCAAAATCCCAACACCCACAAACCTCATAAACTTGGAGCCATGCTAAGAGCATATTTGGTATCTGGTAGAGATTCGGAATAGGAGAGAACTTAAGGGCAGAGGCAGCAGTTTGAAGCACAACCCTTGTGGTGCCGACAACTGTTTGCTTCCGGCCACCAGCAGGAGGGGACGACGTCGACGACTGCTGCACTACCGACGGGATATCCGAGCTCGAGCCTGCGTGCCCTGCTTGTGCATCGAGGCTCGCAGGATTGTCATGAATGGTGGGTTCGCTGGGTGCTGTATGGAGGACATCCATGTCCCCATCGGAGGGGAGAGACGGCGAAGGGCGTGGATCATTGGGGGATGGCTGAATGGGCGCAGGTTGCCCAGGATGAGGCGAGCTTGATTGATCAACAGGGTTAGGAGTGGGAGTGGGGCAAGAGAGAGTTGGCGATGGGCATGGATCATTAAATTGAAGGGGGGCAGGAGGGACAGGTTGTCCAGGATAGGACGCCACCGCATGATTAACAGGGTTGGTGTCAGGAGTGGGGCTTCTCCGAAATAACTGAGATACCCGACGCCAAAAAGAGGGCCGACGCCTCGAATCCTGAGAAGTACCACCTGAAAGCAGAAGGATTGGCTTTGTAGCAGCAGGAGCCGCGGGACGGGAACCTGTGGAATTATCATGATATCTGCGAATCATTCCATCGCTTGGGGTTGAGCGAAGGTCACGCTGGACGTCGGGAACAGAGGGAATTGGGGGCTGCAAGGGATCACCAGGAGGACCATTAGGAGGAGGCTGAGAAGGGTGCCGTCTCTTGAAATACCGAAAGAGAGGACGGGAAGACGTAGACATCGCGTACTAATACTAGTCATGAAAGAGTGCAGGAAAAGTCAAGCCGCATGGCACCTTCACATGACGTATATAAAAATGTCTTTGTCAGCGGCAGGCGTTAAACCCCGAGCGACTATTGAATAGAGTCAGTGTCGCCTGTGTGTAGTAAAGTCATGATTCAAGCCTTCTATTAGAAATTGCAATTTAAACGTACCTGTGTTCTACTGAAGGAGCACTTGCTGGATCAATGCAGACGAGCCCAAGACTACGTCCACTACGAAATGCGGCGATTATAATCGACGTCGACGTCAGCAACGTTGAACATGCCGAGTATTCAAATCGTGAGACCAATGTCATACGGCCTGGGGACTGGGAAGAATTGATTACAAACCACGTACATCCCTCCGAAGCAATCTTTCGTCAACCCCGCCAGGTGGAGCGGGAGACGCCGCAAACTTGGCCTCAGGTCGCACCTCATGAGTGATGCGACAGGAACAAAATGAGAGGTCCTTGACCGCGCGTAATTCAAGCGTAATTTTTGGTGCAAGCCCCGGAGCGTGGGAATTCTGCCCGATACGCATGCAGGCCTCGGCAAGAGACAAACTACTTGCCAGTCTGATATATCTCGAGGATGAGGATGGGCAGGATACATCGATGGGAACCTTACGGTGAAATGCCAGCGTCACATCGAGTGGATGACCCCCGCACAAGCCACTTGATGGAATCCTGGACTACTTATTTCTGTGCCTCGTTCGCCGTCACGCATTATTACTCAGTTGGTGATTGGGTCCCACCATGTGCCAATGGACGATCATCCCACCTCTTTCATTTCTTTTTCGTTTTCGTTTTTCAACCTTCGTTGCCGTGAGCTTTTTGCAAACCTGAACTCCCTTCCATTCTTCCATTCATTTCATTTCACTCTAGGCTTGTCCCGCGTTCAGGTGAGGTGTTGGTGTTGGTGTTGGTCGTTTGGGCGATCCGATTGCTTTTTTCGATCCATTCTCGCTGGAGATGCTGGGAATAATCAATATAGCAGAAGGAGAGGGACCAGAGAATATGTATCATTTAGAACGTGGATGCAGGTATCTGGAGTTGTGAGGGTGAGGGTAAGCGTGGGCGGGCGTAAGAGAGACCGGATTTGTTTGGCGTTGGATTCGAATGGAACAAAGGTATGGATTTGAGATTTGGGTGGGCATGGGCTGCGTAGGTAATTATATAATCTCCCTATCAGATACCTCTCACTTGGGGCCAATAATCGATAACCGGTGGACGAATGTGACTGCAACCAAGTGAATGGCGCCGGGGCAGCTCCACCGCCAAGTGAGACACCGTGGGACGCTTACCGATCGTCAGCGGTGCGTAATATGATGTCACGGAGCTTGCACACTCTCAAGGAGCTATCTGGGAACGGTCGGGCTCCAATCAAAAGGAAATTTCGGAGCTACACTTGTCTGAGGCCCATTTCTTAAGCATTGATGTGCGTACGTTCCCCCACTTGCCTGCATCCTAGAGCTCATATAAAACTTGATTGCACTCCAAGATCGTGATGCAAGGGTCCCAGCCTCCACTGACCCACTTCGCGTATTCAATTACCGCCGACTCTCCGTACGAGGCGAACGACGTGACCTGTGTGCCTCAGGGTGATGTCCCACAGTGTCCTTGCTAGTTCATATCTAATTTTCATTCTTAATCGCACTCATCTTCCAGTTCTAAGGGGCCTGATACTGGTTCTCTCCACTGACCGGGGCACCTGCTAACCCACTCCCGCAATAGATAAGCCAGGTCATCATCTGTCCCAATTACTTAACCACCTTGCCAGGCCACCGAGCGTGATGGAATTCGCCATAGATATAGCATCAGAAAGCCGCGTGAATGCAACTGATACCCCTATCCACCTTCTATATTTGTACAACTTAGGCCCCGTGGCTCTGAAGCATTAGCGCTCACACGTGTGTTGCGTGCCCAAAGCTCTCTCTCCTCCATCAGTTTGTTCGTTATCGACCATGTCGTTGCGACGAAAGGCTGAAGCCCTCAGGCAAACAATCGATGATCTTCTCGTAGCGGGAGGTGACATCGCGGTTCCAATCCTCACAGTCGTCAATGCTACAGCCAATTGATGTCTCCCCCTGAAGATGGCGACTGGCGGTGCACTCTTTATCCTCGATGAGGTCAAGGTTGGCTATGATTTGTGCCCGGCCATGAACGAAAGCTGAGGCTAGGTTGCCCCACGTAGAAGTTCAAGGAGAACGAGAAGGAATGGGCTGATTTTGGTCAATACATAGTAGATATGGTGGCCGAGGTGATTTCAGCCATAGAATCATATGACACGTCAGCAGAGGAGGCAAAGCCGTGGGTAGAAAGCGCTAAAAAGCTTGACGAGTAAGCTGTATTTGTTCCTGGTATTCTTTGATATCGTTGTTTACGTCAAATCTCAGCGCGCTACAGAAGATTAAGTCGAAAATCGAACAAAGACTCAAAAAAATAGAGAAACGACCGACTTTCGTAAATGCATTGTCCTACTTGAAAGACCCAGGAAGGATCAGTGGCCTAAAGAAAGATTTTGACAAAACTTTGGTATCGTTTCAGGTAGCTATCCCTTCAGTATCGTTCCATAACCATACTGATTTTTGGCCGGTGCAGGTCAGGACGAACTTGATAACTGGTGCCAAGTTAGCGGCCATAGAACGTCGCCTACATGATGACAGAATTCTCGATAGTCTCCGAGATCCTTCTATTGTCCACGAAAATCCAACCCAAGCATGCCTAGAAGGCACTAGGGTTGATCTGATTGAGCATATCATGACGTGGTGTCGCAACACTGGGGATAGCGAGAACCGGCTAATGCTGTTGACTGCTGTGGCCGGTGCCGGCAAGACTTCGATTGCACTCACGATAGCAGAACGATGTGCCAGTGAAGGGGACATTACCCTGTTATTGCACTTCTTCTTTAAAGCGGGTGAACGGTCACGGCCTGATTTTCTATTCAGCGGCATAGCTCGAGCCTTGGCAGACCATGACCCCGTTTACCGCACTTTCATTACCTCTGCTCTGCGAAATGACCCTAGTCTCCCAACAGCTTCATTCGCGACGCAATTCGAGAAATTGGTCACTCCGCCTCTGCTCCATAAACCTCCGCCTTCCAACCGACCTATGATCATCATCATCGAGGCTTTGGATGAATGTGACAAAGGAATGTTCGAGTCTCTTGCCGGAATTCTTGGGGATGAAGTGCCCAGGCTACCATCTTCCGTCAAATTCTTCATCACATCACCCTATTGATCGTCTCACTATTGATCTCTTGGATGAGGCAAATGTGCGGGACTGTGTTAGATTCATACGCTTCCAGCTCCAAAAGCTAAGGAAGTTACATTGGGATTTACAGCATAGTCTTCAGGATGAGGACAAAATGGTACAGGAGATCTCGAAACGAGCAAACGGCTTGTTTATCTGGATCAGCACCATCTTTCACTACATGAAGACGGCCAACAAGGATCCTATGAGGACACTGGAAAGTCTGCTTGACACTGGTGCAAAACGACCAGAGGTCCCTGCTGAGAAGATGATGGATGACTTGTATACAAGCATTTTGAAGAAGTGTGCTTGGGAGGATGAAGATTTTGTGCATGATTACCCAATCATCATGGGAGCAATCTTTGTTGCTCAGGAGCCTCTGTCCATCACAGCCTGGGATGCAATTTTGTTGCCTTTCCTCAAGTCTTCTGTTTGATATGTGTTGGCTGAACTTGCGCCTCTCCTCTCAGGAGTTGAGGATCACTACACTCCAGTTTGCATCTTACACCAGTCTTTCCGCGATTTTATTGTCGATCGGATCAATCCTCAAACAATCAGCCCTCATTGCAATCCAGTAGGTATGGGGATGGAGCATGCCAGGGTTGCCCTGCGATGTATTGAGATCCTGTTGGAATTTGTACACATGGTCTCAGGAACCTTAATGCATAAAATATGGACATTCTGGGAGTCGAACCGCAGAGCCCTGCATAGGTACCTTGAGTGTGTTACCATTACACTAAATGCCCGCATTAGGCGGAGGTGGTTTCTAACAGATCCTGAACCAGGATCTGTGCTCTGTAGAGGGCTTAGGACTGATCGAAAACTTGTCCAAAAAAGATGAAATGCCATGCATTCCTCCAATGGAGTTATCTGAGCACTTTCATTATGCACGTTGTGTCAGGGCAGACCTGCCTGACCCAGCTCCACCTGCCCTCTGTTGAAATAACCACCTCAGCCTAACGGGGCGTATGGTGTAATGGCTGTGCACACTGAGTTCGCGATCCAGAAGACTGGAGTTCGATTCCCAGTATGTCCAACTTTTAGGTTTCCCTAAAAAGACCACGTGCAAATTCCAACACCCTCACCTGGTACCCCGCTGTCAGGGACCGACCCAGGGTCGAGAGCGCCCGGGTGTATCGCCCGAGGCTGAGGGTCCAGTAGGTATGACGCGGGCACGCGTAGCAACGGGCCCGAAGCAGACAAGGGTCCCTGGCCACTAAGACTAAAGTGGGAAATGTGTTATTGTCATTATCAAGGGAAGTGTAAGCTACTTGCCTAAAGTGGGAAATGTGAGAAGAAGGTTGCTTCTCAGTTCCCACTTAGGCTGTGTTTATATACATGTGGTTGAAGGCCACGTGGGAAGCGCCACGTCATCCGAGCACACAGCCACCTCCGTCTGGGTACCTCCGTAAGAGGTCCTAGGAGCGTCCGGTGTGCGGGGGGTCGTCCGGTGTGTCCGGGTTCGGGCGCGTTACACTGCAGCCGGGTCAATGGTACATTGATACAAAGGAAGTCGTCCGTGTGATAAGAAAGGAATAAAGAGGAGAGAGAATAGAAAAGAAGGAGAAGAAGAAAGGGAAGGGAGAAAAGGGGAAGAGGGGGGAGGTCGGGAGGAGTGGATGGTGGGGCACCGGGTTAGGTGGGGCCGGGTCAGGCGGGCGTGCCCTGACACCCGCCCACCTCCACTCCTCACTCTTCAGCATTGTTTCTCACTTCATGTTTTCCCTTTTGTCTTTCTGTTCTTTTGCTCCCTTGCCCTTTCTTCTATCTTTATCCACATGGACGACATTTCCCCTTATCTATGTATTATCGACCCGCCTGCAACTCGTGCATGACACACCCAGCCCCAGACGACCCACAGTGTAACCCAGCACACGCGCGTGCAGCACTCACCCTCGGGATCCCCCGTGGGGACACCCAGATGACTGCGGCTGTATGCAGGGTGACGTGGCAAACCTCATGTGACCCAAGCCACATGTACATAAAAGTACCTGGGGTGGGAACCGAAGAAGTAACCTTCTTCTCACAATTCCCACTTCAGTCTGAGTGGCCAGGGATTGTCGTCCCAGATTGGGCCCGTCACTACGCACGCCTGCTCTACACCTCACAATCACCTCAGTGCCGGGCGTTACACCCGGGCCCCCTCGACCCCGGACGTGTCCCTGACACGTTGTCACATTGTCCATCACCTCAGTAGAGTCCAGGAACCATCACAGGGGCTTACTAGGTCAGTTGTGATGTTTCTAAGTCAGGAAGCAACTCGCTGGATGGAAGTCTGTGTGAGAATGGAAGCCTACATCAGTATCTCTTCACTCCCTGAGTGGGCTAAGGTATGGGATATCAATAAACTGTGTTAATGAATCTGCCTCATGATCCTATCCAGTTGGCCATTGTCCACGGGTCAAAAGATGCTGTTGGTACACTGGCTATTGTGCTTACCCGGCTTCACTGGAATTTGGTATTTTTTTCAAGATTCCAAGAGGCATATGAGGCAGCAAATGATTCTGTTGTACTCTGCTATTATCTTTGTTCTGTGGACCCAGGTTACACTCACCATTGGGCTGAGTCACTCAACAGCCTATATAATGCTTTTTCTAATCTTGGACGGCACTCGGAGGCGCTCCCATTCATTGCAGAAAGTACCAAACTCTACTCCCAACAGCCTAGTCAGCCATCTAATGACGGCCTATAGAGGGGGGGCCATATGGCCTTCAAATGGGCCTAAAAGGGGGTATTTACTAGTGGATGTCCTGGACATCCTGGTGAAGACTGATCCATTCACCAGGACATCCCCAGGACGTCCTAGGATGTCCTGGGATGATTCTATAATTCAATCAAATTCAATCAAATGCTTCTGTGATTCAATCAACTTTGTATTATTATTCAAAACATAATGCCGCAATTGAATCTGATTTCCCATGACAATCCTCAGGCTGCTCAACTGTCTGTGCACAATGCTGGCCACTGTCTAAAGGGGTGTCAACACTGTTTCCCACGTCCCCAACACACTTTATGCAGATGGATAGCCCCTTTGAATAGCTTCCAGAATAGATATTTTGAGACTGAATTGACCAATAAATCATCGAGAAAAACGCAAAATACTTTTTTGGACACGAGTCTTTTGGGTTAGTGTGGCTGTCCACCTCATGTCTGTGCACAGTGCTGGCCACTGTCCGGAGGGGTGTTCAGACTGTTTCCCACGGTGTCAGCCCCTTCAAATAGCTTCCAGAATATATTATTTGAGACTAAATTGACAAGCAAGTTATTGAGAAAAATGCAAAATACTTTTTTGGACACGAGTCTTTGGGATATCAGTGACCCGGGAATTTCGATGACTGTCAGTGAAATTTAGTGGCCCAAGCACTATCCCAAAGACTCACATCCAAAAAAGTATTTTGCATTTTTCTCAATAACTTGCTTGTCAATTTAGTCCCAAATTATATATTCTGGAAGCTATTTGAAGGGGCTATCCAACTACGCAAAGTGTGTTGACACCGTGGGAAACAGTTTGGACACCCCTCCGGACAGTGGCCAGCACTGTGCACAGATGTGAGGTGGACAGCCACACTAACCCAAAAGGCTCGCGTCCAAAAAAGTATTTTGCATTTTTCTCGATGATTTATTGGTCAATTCAGTCTCAAAATATATATTCTGGAAGCTATTCAAAGGGGCTATCCATCTGCGTAAAGTGCGTTGGGGCCGTGGGAAACAGTGTTGACACCCCATCAGACAGTGGCCAGCAGTGTGCACAGACATTGAGTTGGACAGCCACACTAACCCAAAGACTCGCGTCCAAAAAAGTATTTTGTGTTTTTCTCGATAATTTATTGGTCAATTCAGTCTCAAAATATATATTCTGGAAGCTATTCAAAGGGGCTATCTATCTGTGTAAAGTGTGTTGGGGCCGTGGGAAACAGTGCTGACACCTCTTCAGACAGTGACCAGCATTGTGCACAGACATTAAATACCATCAAAAGACTTGCGTCCAAAAAAGTATTTTGCGTTTTTCTCAATAATTTATTGGTCAATTCAGTCTCAAAATATATATTCTGGAAGCTATTCAAAGGGGCTATTCAACTATGTAAAGTGTGTTCAGACCGTGGGAAACAGTGTTGACATCCCTCTAGACAGTGGTCAGCATGTGCACAGACCATGGGATGGATGAGTATGGCATTCCGGGACACTTTTGCAACCATTGAATCAAACTGAATTAGGACATCTGAGGATGTTTGCAACAAATGAATGAAACTGAATGGCCAGGATGTCCTAGGACGTTTATAGTGAAAAAGGCCTTTTAGGCCCCATGCAAACATCCTGAGGTCCCCCCTATAAAGGCCCACATAGTGGTTGTCCAAGGTGACTCCCAACTAGTTGATGTTAACCCAGAATTATATACATCGGATTGGACCACGTCACTCAACAATCTACATAATGCTCTTTCCAATCTTGGACGGTACTCGGAGGCACTTCCATTCATTGAAGGAAGTGTCAAACTCCAGCGCCGGTTAGTTGCCATTCACCCAGGATCATATACCCCGAATTTGGCCATGTCACTCAACAATCTACATACTGCTCATTCCAATCTTGGACAGCACTCGGAGGCGCTTCCATTCATTGAAGAAAGTGTCAGACTCTACTGCCAGTTAGTTGCTGTTCACCCAGGATCATACACACTGGATTTGGCCATGTCACTCAACAATCTACATAATGCTCTTTCCAATCTTGGACGACACCCAGAGGCACTTCCATTCATAGAAGAAAGTGTCAAACTCTCCCGCCAGTTAGTTGCCATCCACCCAGGACTGCACACCCCATATTTGGCCAAGTCACTCAACAATCTACGTATTACTCTTTCCAATCTTGGACAGCACTCAGAGGCGCTCCCATTCATCGAAGAAAGTGTCAAACTCTACCGCCAGTTAGTTGCTGTTCATCCAGGATCACACACACCAGATTTGGCCATGTCACTCAACAGTTTATATAATGCTCTTTCGGATCTCGGACAGCACTCGGAGGCGCTTCCATTCATTGAAGAAAGCGTCAACCTCTACCGCCAGTTGGTTGCCATTCACCCAGAATCATACACACCGGATTTGGCCATGTCACTCAACAATCTACGTAATGCTCTTTCCCATCTCGGACGGCACTTGGAGGCACTTCCATTCATCGAAGAAAGCGTCAAACTCTGCCACCAGTTAGTTGCCGTTCACCCAGGATCATACACCCCGAATTTGGCCATGTCACTCAACAATCTACATAATGCTCTTTCCGATCTCGGACGGCACTCGGATGCGCTTCCATTCATTGAAGAAAGTGTCAAACTTCGGCGCCAGTTAGTTGCCATTCACCCAGGATCATACACACCGGATTTGGCCATGTCACTCAACAATCTACATAATGCTCTTTCCCATCTCGAACGGCACTCGGAGGCGCTTCCATTCATCGAAGAAAGCGTCAAACTCTGCCATCAGTTAGTTGCTGTTCACCCAGGATCATACACACCGGATTTGGCCATGTCACTAAACAATCTATATTTAACTCTTTCGGATCTCGGGCGGCACTCGGAGGCGCTCCCATTCATTGAAGAATGTGTCAAAATCCGGCGCCAGCTGGTCGGTGTTAACCCAGGAGCATACACCACAAAGTTGGTCGATTCACTCGAGAATCTACATGATGCTCTTTCCAATCTCGGCCGTCATTCCGAGGCACAAATGGTTCACATTTGTGCATGTTCTCCCCATCATTGTATTTCCTATGTTCCTACTGCACACGACAGGAAAGGCTGAATTGGGTCTTCAGCTCGAGAACACCGACCAATCTAACCTCAATTTTCGACCGACAAGTTCACTGGCCACGCTACACCCATAACAGATCACAGTCGCATCTTACAATTTTAATATCAAGGGTATTCATTCCCCCCCCCCCCCCCATTTCCCCTCCCATCGTTCATGGTGATGTAGTGGTCCATGCGTGTTTCTGCATACCACCATAAGCGATGATGTTGAGGTTTGGATGGATGATGAGTGGTGGTGACTTGGGGAAAAACGCAAGAAACCTGATATATACTATTATCCCGCCAAGAAGTACATGTGTCTGTCGAATCGTCGCCATTGCGTTCGAATGGAGCTTCAAGTCCGAAGTGGGTTCATTGTGGTGACATCAATGTGAGTGTGTCGGATTCGACTTGGCAAACTCGGCGCATTCCCCACAGCCCCTTCAAACCACCTACGTATCACCACCAGCTACAATATATCAATCCCCTCCTTCAAAGACCCACCTGTTCCTGTTTCTTCCCAATCGCTCCTCTTCCCATCCTTAGGAGTGTTGAAATAACCACCTCAGCCTATCAGGGCGTATGGTGTAATGGCTGTGCATGCTGAGTTCGCGATCCAGAAGACTGGAGTTCGATTCCCAGTATGTCCAACTTTTAGGTTTCCCTAAAAAGACCACGTGCAAATTCCAACAAGGAGAGCTAGGGAGTCTATCACTTTCCCCTGGTCCGATCCTTCCATCGAAGCAATCATTGATGAACGAATCGTCCCTCCACCCCCTTTGCCCTCTGGTTCTCCTTCATCATGCCGTCGTCAACGCTGCATTGCAATTCGTTAGGTCTTTCGTCTACGGCCAAAGTAGGTGGTGGCGGCGGGTTTGGTAGCAGCTAGGAATGAGAAAAGGAGCAGGGAATTTTTACTTTATGGATAATTCGGCGGATGCGGGCAAGGAATCATGTGCCTGATTCGACCGATGTGTTGACGGCAAGGGCTAAGACGACGAGATGATAGGAGGCGACGTTTAGTATGGTCCCCCTTGGCATTGCGTGTTTTGCCTAATGATTTTCTTCCCTTCCTCGTGTCCTTCGCCACTTCAGCATATTCAACGTAGAAGGACAATGCCCTATACTTCCACTCTTGGCCCTTCCTTACTTCTCAGCACTCTCTCGTCTCCTACGACCTAACTCACGCACACACAAGTCCCCCTTCTTTACACTCGCCGTCACGCATTCTCAACTCTTACTCTGAATAGCACGCCGGTTGCGTGGTGGATACGTGCAGGCGTACACTCTACATACTCATATTTGGATCCAATTGGGTGCCCGTGCCAATGCGCGTAAGTACCGGCACAAATAAAGGAACAAACATTCAAAATACAAAACATTCTCGGGGGGAGACATCGGCAGTCTAGTAATACTAAAATCCGAGTTGTTTTTATTATTCATTCTAGAATGTGAAATTGGCTGTCACAATTACGCTAAAAACCTAAACAGTTTCGAGAACGCGTTAACGCATCTCGGATATTTTTCTCAGGACTTCAGTTTACTGTACATGTGCAGTCGCTCCCATCTTACTATATGTAATATTCACCTGAACCATGACAGTTGGGTCGGTCGCTTCCGTTCCCTTGATTCCCTGGCGTGGGCATTTTGCGCCTGGGCCAATCCGTCAAGTCACTGGTCTTTCTAGTCCAATCGCTTATTTTGCGAGTACTGTCCCTAGTTGCGAGGTGGGGAGGAATGGACTTTTGTTCGGGGAGTAAGTTAACTGTTATAGTATGACGTCAGAGTGCGTATAGTCGGAGTGTTTGAGCTATGGGACTTCGTGTTTATGAAGCTATATTGGATCTACACAGTGGGAAGTAACCCCGGCAGATGGTGTAGGGTTGCCCCAGTACCAGCCCTGCTAGGTAGCCCCATTACCATTTGACGGGGCCAACCATCAGATTTCGAGTGCCGGGACCTCCTATCAGATATGCATAGTCTGACGGGGCCATCCTGATGGGGTGCCCCAGAAATACTGACAGGGTGCCCTGGAAGTTATTGATAGGTAACCCCACCTGTTTTAATAGTAAATCATAATATATTCATTTGGTATATAGTAATACACGCATACACTGGCGCTTGTCATTGCGAGTGTCGGAGAAAATAATACCCCAAGGCTATACTGAGGGTGCAGAGAAAACCTCGCGCTAAACCTCGCGCTTGAACACACCTTTGCAGGGATAACCCCTCGGGGTCTGTGGGGCCGGCGTAGGTCCCAAGAGCAAGTCGGTTTCGAAGATAGGATGACAATAATCAGTGGGGTAAATATGGCAGGTAGATCGCAAAGCAAATGATGAGGTGAATGGTGAGGTGAACGGTGGGGAACACATAGTTTGCTCATCCGTGAAACCCGACCCGCGGGGTTCCAGCACTCTTTGTACCTCACCAACGGGAGTTCGCCTTTTAGCCGTGGAGGAAGCTATTGTCTTCCAATTCCGGTCACTTTTGGGGAGTTTGATTGTTTCCTGGAGTAGAAAGTTAAGAGCGTAGTAGTAGGCACACTTTGTGGTTAGGCACCAGTGCAGGCTCTGCAACAGCGCATTGGGCAATGCCATGATAACACATCTGGTCTGCATCCTTCCATGTCGGTTGGCCCAAAATCTTGGCATCAATGAGTGAAGAACACGTCAAAACACGTGGGAACGCGTCCAATTGTACTATTGGAATGGAAGCGTGCACGGTGCAACAGAGCATGGGCCCACAGTGTCGGACTCAAGAATTAAAGAGACGAAATAGCAGACACAGATATGGCTCCCACCAAAGGGTGCAATGCAGGCTTGATTGCCAAGATCGGATGAGCTGATTGCGCAAGATCGCTCAACCTGGATTGGCAATAGTAAGCATTGAAGCACGTATTAGGATGCAGAAAACAGAGGGCCAGCCAAGAAAAACATGTTGGAGGAAGCGCCCTCAGTGCATGTATTTACACATGTTTATATTATGATATACAATCTAAGAGTTTACCGCTATGATGTCCAACCGCCGTTGACCTGGTATTTTCTACAGGTTATGAGCCCAGGCGGCTCGCCTGGACACCCGAGGTATTAAGGAAATCCGCCTAACTCTCGCGGTACAAGCCCTGGTTTTGTGGCTGTTGGTGAAAGTCCTCGAGTTTGAGGCAAGAATTTGCGATAAGTCCCGCTGGGCACGCGCTTATTGAGAAAGTCCTCGGGTTTGAGGCAGGGATTTTGTGATAAGTCCTGCTGGGCACACATTAATCAAGAAAGTCCTCAGGCTTGAGGCAGGAACCTGCGATAAGTCCCGCTGGGCCCGCGTCGATTTTGGAAAGTCCTATTTATTAGGCACCGGTAATCTTAAAGCCCATGGGACATGGCACTTTATCGCTGTAAGCCCTTAGACAGGCATGCAATGTTTACCTCACATTTCCCTCTCACCCCCTCCTTGCCACGTCATCACCTCTCTTTAATCTTTCTCACGCCTCATCGCACCACTGTTATTCAGAGGGTGAAAATTTTACACTCCTTCCTCATTCAATCATCATGCCGGCCACCACCCCATTCGACAAACTAAGTGACGACAATTATACAGCCTGGTCCCAGTACATGAAGGCTGACTTAGTCCGGAAGAAACTCTGGGGCTATGTTTCTGGAGATATACCCCGACCACTTGGAAGTGCGCATCACAGGACTGTTCAGGCCTGGCAAGAAAAGCACGATATTGCCGCAGCTGAGATTCTACTCAATGTCTCCCCGAAATATATCGGTCATTGTGATGACACTGATGCACCTGGAACCTGGAACAAACTCAGAACCATATTCCGCACAGAGGGCAGTAGTTCTATTGCTGCACTCCGTTATCAATTCAATTCTATGCGCTACAACGGGACCACAATGCGAGAATGGATTACCAAAGTTGAAGATGCCGCGCGTCATCTTGAAGATGTCAAGTCCCCCATGATCCCAATTGACATCATCAACATCCTAATTCGCAATCTCCCAGAATCATACTCCCCCCTAATCGTCGTCGTTGATACTCTGTTGGATGACCCCCTCCGACCCGTGGACTCTACAACCATTCAAGATGTCATCAGGCGACTTCTAAATGAGGAAATTCGCCTCGCTAACACTACACACGATGGAGAACCCTGGGCTGCCAAAGTTGCCAAGGAAAGTAGGAACACAGACAGGTGTTATAACTGCGGGCAACCAGGACATATCAAATTCGAATGCAAACTTAGCCCATATGAAGTTCAGACACGCCGCAAGCGCAGGAACAAGTTCAAGAACATAAATGTGGATGAAGCAAAAATGGCAGAGCAAGATGGGCCTGATTATGAATCTCATGCCATTTATTAATTACATGCTCCTTCGTTCGAGAGGGTGTGTTGGAGGAAGCGCCCTCAGTGCATGTATTTACACATGTTTATATTATGATATACAATCTAAGAGTTTACCGCTATGTTGTCCAACCGCCGTTGACCTGGTATTTTCTACAAAACATGGCTGCGCATATTACGGATATCCAGCATTGATTGGATGAGTGTGGGGGGAACACAGAGATAAGAGAGATGACAGGTGAGACGAAGTTCCAAAGTAAATGGCAACTCCCGAACCGACAAGGATGAGGAAAGGAACCCAAAACCGACATTAGCGCCCCGCGCTTCCACTCTTCCCAATGGTCTCCTTGCTCCCAACAATCACATGCCTACGGTAGCACTCGACTGAGCAGCATTTCGAAGAAAATGATAAGTATTTTAATGTGATGGTAAAACCCAGTACAATCTGACGGGGAACTTCCCACACCTGGACGGACTTGAAAAGGGAGGACATGGAACTCAGCGATGATGAGAATGAGGGATTGGAATCCTCTAAGTTAATGTGCGAAATTGTCTTTTGGTATCAATATGCAAGTCAGAATCCAGATGCTAGGTAGCCCCGGTACTACACACGACTGAGCATTTCCAAAAAGCTGATAGGGAGTCCCGGCATTTTCGATTAGGTGATGGTACAACCCAGTACAATCTGATGGGGGGACTTCCCACAGTGTCTAGCGGTGCAGACCGTGTAGGTCCGAGGCAAAAAGTGGCTCACAACATGTCCACCGTAACCGAGCTGATCGTTCGTCTCAGCGCCGCATATGTGCACTATCGTCATGTCACGCCTGCTGCGCAGGCTATCCCACTCTGGGGTTATTGAGGTTGTTTAATTTGTAATCTCGTCATCCATAGTTGAGACAGGCTAGCTCGAAAGTGGCTTGATCACCTCGCGCACAATTTGAATTCCAGAAAAAGAGAATCCCCCCCCAGCCCGAATCGCATCGAAGCCATACCAAGAACAAATACGCGATGCTTACATTTCTTTCTCGAATCCTTTATATTTACAACAAAGTACAGAGTGTCGGATGCAACGATGATGATGGTACTCAGCATTGGGCACCGTGGCGGCGACTTTGGACTAGCGGAGCAATGCGCGTATGGACACCCTCCTACTCTTGCTAGATAACTACCACTAGTAGTTACTATCGTACGCCTCGTGAGCTTGCTCTCTATATTTGAACGTGCGTCAGTACAAGTCCGCCGATTAATTACCTCCGAAGTAATAAACAACAACAATGATTTTTTTTTTTTTGGTTATGAAACGTGAAGGACAGACAGCCTGAGGATGTGATACAAGGATGGGCGGGTGGATAGCGGCGAGAAGAGTAACAAGTTGGGCAACAAGCGAAGGGAAGAAATGGAGAACGTACTTGGCGTGACGCTTGGCCTTTTCCCTATCGATGAAATCAAGTCCTCTCGTCTCAACCTCGCGATCGACGAAGGCACCAGCAGCGGCCGCACTAGATTGAAGAGGGGGGGATGGGGATCGAATGTTAGTATGATTGTTTCTTTGGGGGGACAAACGATAGCTAAAGATCGGCGCCCGATCCGTTCCCCCCGAAGCCCCTCAACGACAAAACGACGGTCGTGAAGAGGGAAAAGGAACAGATTTTCAAAAGAAACTCACATGAACTCCTTGGCCTTGGCATGACTATCAAACTCTCCGTTCGCCTCTTTATGCTTCTCATAAGCCTTAGCAGCTTCAAACGCAGCCGCTCCAGCGATCAGTTCGTGGGACACACTGGCTTGGTGATGTTCCTGGAGGTTTCCATACTGATCGTAGTATTCACGTTGTTCGGAATCGTGGCTGAAGAAACCCATGATTGTTTAAAACTTTTGGTGTTTGGTTAGGTTGGTTGGTGGTGTTGGTAAGGTTTAGTGAGGGAGCGGGGGGGCGATCATCGATGGGATGTCTAGGTTTATATACCCAAAGGGGGGGTAATATGTTATCCAAGTTATCACTCACTACGCAATTCCGTTATCAATAAACGTCATTACGCTATATATATAGTCCATACAAGTACTACATGCATGAGAGTGTGATAGCAAGATGCTGTGTTATGTACTCACGTCCTCAAACGAGAAAGCCAGATGACCTGTCTCTATGAGGGTGCGACGTCATCACACATACCTAAAATGTAAAGGTGGTTTCCAGGCTAAGAATAGCATCGACTTGATTGTCTGCAGTAAAACACCCTCAGCCTCAATCTCATCCCTACAATCAAGTTTCTTTCATCTTGGGCCGCAATAACTTCATTTTCATGCCAACTTGCGCAATCTCAATTTCGTGTTAAAAAAGAAAGTTATGACACATGGATTCTCACGGAACGGCAGCCTCCTTGCCGTTAATGGATTTGATATTCCTCGCAATCGTTCTTCGTCCCGCACACTCCTCCTGCCCCTTCTAGTTCCAAAAATCGCATACATAGTACCTTGCATGTACGTAAACGGAAAAACTAAAAGTAGTGGCTTTTCTCCATCATGTTTGGGACAAATTCGAAATATGCTGATATGTAGATATGGATCGAACCATCTGATCGTCTGCGTGCCATGGAGCTAGGGTTAGACTTGGCAGTAGTTCTACTAAGTACTACTAGTGCAGATCGTGTAGACTCGGGGCAAGGAAGATGGTTGCGCGCCCGGCCGGCCGGGGGACTTCTACTCCGTTATCACCGTGTTATGCCTCCTTGCGCCATTCTGGGGTATTGGTAGTTTGTCTCTCGGTTGTACGCAGTGCATGTAGGTTGGGTGTCTCGTGGCTTTCAGGATCGCCGTCCCTCCCACTGTTGGGATTCAAGCCAAAAGCATGAACCTCCCACTGAGTCGAATCGTCCCAAGTCCCGGTTATATACACAGTTTGTTTTTTTATTCCTTACAATTTCTTTTTCGAATCCATATATTTACAATGAAAAATCCACAGGGTGTGTGTTGCGAGACGCAAACGATTGATGGCTCGATCCCGGTATATATTGGCGTACCGGCCCCCCCGCGGACGACTGTGGCGCAACAATAGGCGTGTGGGGGGGGGGAGGAATTCGTCTACCGTCGCAAAAGTTCCTACTCGAACTTCTCACTGTACGCAGCATTGGCTTGCTCTCTATAATCGAACATATGTTAGTAACGAGTCCACGATAATGATGAATAACAGATATTGATTTTTTTTTTTGATCACGGGTTGGGAAGGGTTAGGGTTGGAACAGGTGGACGGGTGGACAGCGGCGAGAGGGAGCACACACAGTTGGGACAACCAAGTGACAAGAAAACAAGAAAACGAGAACGTACTTAGCGTGGTGCTTGGCCTTTTGCTTATCGATGAAATCCAGTCCTTTCGTCTCAACCTCACGATCGACGAAGGCACCAATCGCGCCCGCACTGATTGAAGGAAAAGAAGGCAGATCGAATGTCAGTAATGATTGTTTCTCTTTCGGAAACAAACGATAGATGAAAGATCGGCACCCCGATCCTTCCCTAGGGACCGCCCCCTTCCGTCCCCCCTTTCTCAACGCGACAACTAACTAGTGGCACACACGACAACTCGAAAAAAGAAGAAGACCCTCAACGTCCAACTCACATAAACGCCTTTGCCTTGGCATGATCGTCAAACTCTCCATTCTTCGCTTTATGGTCGCTGTAGGCTTTAGAAGCTTGATAGGCAGCTGCACCAGCGATCAGTTCGTGCGAAAACTTTGCTTTGTGTTCTACAGGGTTGAGGTCGTTGTACTCATTGTGAGCCTGAGCTTGGTCGGAGTCGTGGTGGAAGAAAGGCATTGGTTTGGTCTAGTTGGTTTGAACTTGGTGTGCTTGCTAGTTGGTAGGTTGTGCTGGGAGGTTGGAAACGAGCCCATCATGTCTTAGTTTATATACCCCAGAAGGAAGAGTGATATGTTATTCAAGTTACCATATCACAGGTGCAATTTCTGTTACTAGAGGCGGCGCTGCATGTGGTTGCTGTGCATGCGGAAGCCAAGCCAAGCACAGGACCTTGAACGTGCGTATGGCGTGCTATAGTGCATACACACGCGAATTCGTTCTTCATTCATGCTGTGTAACGATAACGCATGGGCTATGCTATGTCTCAAAAGGAGTAAGGCAGATGACCCCAGCCTGAGGCGATGGCGATGGCCGAGCCTTCGATGTTATCAATCTGTTGATTCTGGGAATATGCATATATACATATGAAAATGATGAAATTTCCTAAAATAGCAAGGAGTTGGACTGCCGTCGCTCATTACATATGGATCAATAATATTCCAATTTCGCTTATGTATTGAAATCTTTGTTTGAGGAACAGAGCTTCCATCCAACCCCCTATTCGGCGCCGCTAAGATGAAATCTCAGTCACTTGCTGACTTCCTCAACTCAACAGTACCGTATCTTTTCATCCGATGGTTGAATAGGAGTGTGGCCCCCCTGACAAGTATATGCGCGTGCCGCTAAATCAGGTGGCCGGCGCATCCATTCCCTTGAATCGAGCACATCAGCGCCACACCAATGCTACTAGTATGGTTGTTACTAATCTCTACCAGCATCGCATCCACAACAGCACTCTTACTGATATCGATCATGCCGTCAAGTCTAGATCGATCTCTCAGTACTTGATCGCCTCAAATTCGAAGGATCATGTCGGGGAGTGCAGATCGGAGGGTTTACTAGCTATTCCCATACTCGCTCGATACGAAATGATTCCTAGCATGCCAATACGTACATGCGGACACGTCGCTAGGAAGAGATCGCCTTCGCCGAGGGTCTACCTTTTGATGAAAGCATTTAGGGCCCCAAGTGAAGTTTCCCAAAGTACGTCTCGTTCCTCACGCCTCTTCTCGCCATCACCTAGCTTCCATCTCCCACCCCAACGCGTCGTTCCTCTCATTCGACGTAGCACCCTTGAAGGTGCATCCGAAGCAGGGGACAAGCGGATAAAATCCCAGTGTTTTATTCATTTTTGGTTTCAGCGTCGTAAACCTAACTCCCTGATCACCTCATTCCGGTTGTCTCTCTCGTGAAGAACACAGATAGCTGGAAGGCACTCCAGATTTGTTTCGGTTGGTTTGATGTTGCGATCCCTTCTGTTCCTGTGCCTACCGAAAAGCAATATACATACGTGGCATTTTGTACGTTCTCCAGTGATTTGATGTGATGGAGTGAGCGGGGAAGTGCGACCGGTTCTTCTGAACTCACTTGGGTGGCGGTTTATCGCTTTTGCCCCATTCCTCTATTCCTCCGCTTCGGCGCATCGAAAACTCTCTCACAGTAGGTGGATGGCTGCCTGTCTCAGGAAGAGAGCAAAAGATCCTTGATCTATCCTGCCGGGGGCAGTTGAGATATGCGGCAAACCAGAGCCTGCATCGGCTGCGTTCGATTCATGAGATTCGTGTGTCATGGATCCAATTTGTAACTCAGACCTCCTTTGGGAGTGAGGTCAATGTCCAGGGTTACGCGGACGCAATCCTGAGGACGAACGATGCCCTGATGCCGACCTCAAGTACACCATGCGCTTTTGTGTACACATATTGAGTCCAGACAAAATTTATACTAATTTCATAGATATAGATAGAGCTGAGGTTCTAGAGGAGTTGTGCGCAAGGCCATTCTGAATGCAACAAGCATGGGTCCTAATAAATGAAGACAAACGGGTGCAAACAACAAAAAAAAAGGACCTTGGAAAACAAACCTACGTAAATGAAAGAAGGATTAATGGAGTCGCGAGCAAATATAAGCGCACAACACAACGCATATTTTTCATACCAAGGCAAGAGGGGCGCAGGCGATTCTTTGAATGTGGCACAGTCCCCACGCTTTTCCGCTTCGCCTTATAAATAAATCCAGGGAATGAGCGTGGCGTATGTTAGATGCAGATTGCAAGGTAAAGAGCGCAAAACGATAATGGTGATGAGTTACAAAAGCACAGCGGCGACAACAGGGTATCCGACCGACGGAGCCAAGACGGAGCAGTCTACGATTTAGGTGACGCAAACAGGGACAAGACCTTCTCAGCGCCGACCTTCATCTTCTTACTGAAAGTTTTCTGAGGTGTACCCTTCCCATCTAAAGTTCTTGATCCCCTGAGAATACCATCTTCAGATCCACTGGCGATATCAAGTCTGGCTAAGGCAGGCAGAGTGCCCGAACTTTTATCATCGACGGAAGTCCTCGAGGATCCCAACCTTCCGGCTGATTCTCGGGACAACGGAAATGATTTAAGAGAGGACTCCTTGAGGTCTGTCACAGAGTGCTTTGGGCCGCGGGGGGTCGTTAGAGGCCCAACGGGCATAGGAGCTGCCCCCTTGTTTGACCTAGATGAAGACAGCACCTTGCGCACGGATGATTCGTCTGGAGTTGGAGATGGGCCAATTGGCGGTTTGACACGAAGGGATTTAGCGGTGCTCTTCCGAAGGCTAAAACCAGGTACTCTCCCTCGTTTCTCGAGTTCAGGCGGCGTAGGAGAGGCTGCGATTGTGATTGAACTACGTTCATCCTTGCTTCGCGGTGACGCGTCAGTTTCTTCGTCGGCGATGCCTTCGTCGAAACGTGAGACACCAGACTTCTCACGTCTCTTCTTTCTCCGGCCCTTGAATGGTGCAAATCCAGACGAAGTAACTGTGGCAAGGGGTTCAAACCTGACGCTGGGTGCAGGCGAGTGGTCATATATAAGATCTGCGGCGGCTGAGACGAGTTCTGCAAGTAAGCCATCTGGTTCGTGTGGCACCTCCAACTCAACTGGAGGCGCATATTGAACAACAGCCGGAGTGGGCGGATTAGGCTGAGCGGAAGCCATGATAGAGACATCGGAAGCGTCGCCGGAAGGAATTTCCGGTGTGGTATCAATCTCTGGAAGAGCACGAGTTTCTTCGACGTCGCCGTCTGCTTCGCCTTCTTCAACATACACCTTGTGTCCATCAAGGATAACAGACTGTGGGCTGTTGTAAGAGTATCCATAAAAAATGTCTACGGTCTCCTCGTTTGCGTCCTGCTGTGAAGCGGTGCTAAATTTCTGATTCGGACTGGAGAGAGATCCGAAAGGAGTTTGCACAGCGAATGAAGTATCCGAATCCAGCGGTCCATCTTCAGAACTCTCTCGCTCAAAATCAGGTTCTGGACCGTCACTCAGAGTGGGGCTCATGTCAAGGAAGGCATCATCGAAGTTCTGGGTGTCACTGGCGTTGGACGAGTCAATAGGGGGGATATATGGTGCTAAACACAAATGTGTTAGACACGGAAATGAAGCCAAGTGGGGCACACACGGATATAGCGTTTGTAATATACGTGCGACCAATCACTATCACAGAGAGAAACATAAGACGATCACAACCTATTATTGAGACTGAAGTTCACACACACATCATGGAGAAGTAGGGATGTCTCTTTAATCTTGGCTCACGAATGCGTAATGTCGGACTCCGTTGAAGAAGCTATCGCAACTTTGCGGTTAGATGGAATCGGCAGGGTGTCAAGGCATGCTCACACCGCGGATAAGACTCTTTGTATCTTGATCAAAGGCCTTATCTCCTGGGAACTGCAATTCGTCCTGAAGGACACGAACATACATATCTGGGTGGTTGTCTGCCCAAAATGGAGTCTGATACCGAGGGATCAATCAATGCCGTTACATCGCTAACCGAAGTAGAACAGCGGCTCACCACACCACTAAGCATTTCGTAGAGCATGGTACCAAATGCCCACCAGTCAACTTCGTAACTATATTGCAGACCCTGGATAACCTCCGGAGCAAGATACTCTGGAGTGCCGCAGAAGGTATCAGTGAAATCCTTGTTCGACAAATCCTCACTTCGCCCGCTGTTTGGACTTTGGTCAGGCGCCATCCATCTGGGCAAGACGGCTCTATCCATGGCTGTCGAGGATCCCGATAGGTTGGGATATGGCAAAGGGAATTGCTTCGACAGACCGAAGTCAGTGAGGACGATGTGTCTATCGAAACCGATGAGAACATTTTTTGGTTTCAAGTTGCGATACACGACACCGGCGGCGTGCAAACCCTCCACCCCTTCCACCTGGTGTGATCATAACATTAGAAGCAGTGATGAAAGGGGGCGCATTGGACTCACAATCTCCGCGGCATAGAAGCGAGCCCGATCGCGGCCCAGTCGACCCCAGCGAGCAAGCTGGGTGCCCAAATCTCCACCTGGGTGGAAATCCTGGTGAGTCGATGAGAAATTAGCACCATTTGGAACAGTCAGGGGAGTAGGTCATATGTACCATGACGAGGAAAAGATTTTGCTTGTTGTGGAAACTCCACCATAATTTGACGACGAATGGGTTTTGGCTTTCATCAGTCATCCGTTTCAGTACAGCCTGTTCAGTCAGTGTATGTCCAAGCTCTCGATGAGCAAGCACATCTCGTTTCTTGATGGCTTTCAGGGCATACAAGGAACCAGATGCCTTATGTTTGACTAGAAGGACCTGGAGCTCCTGTTCAGAAGGGGAAAGTTTCCAGAGTGGTGTCATGAAGTCATACCTTCCCTGCGGAACTGATTCCCAGCATATGCACCAACTCGAAATCGTTGACTGTGATCTCCCTGGAGGCGTGCTTCTTGTGCAGCTTGATAGGTGTAACGATGCCGGTGTCGGTGGGATGTTCTACATCGGTATCGAAAGCAGCCTCAGCCTCAGTGTCCTGCCCATTCACCTGCTTTGGCCGAGAAGGTTTCCATGATCGACTGGAATGTGTGCCCTCTCGCACGGCACCACCATTATTGGCCTCAGCAGAGAGCGGCTCCACCGAAGCAAAGCGAATACTTCTTGCGTGCCTCGAGGGCTGAGAAGGGTGTGCCTCTTGCGAAGGAGGGGAGGCTAGGGTTCGGAAAGCTGGAATTGGTGATGATCCTGCCTCGGCGGGAATAGGATCCAGGGATTCCGGAGTAACGAAAGTGGCATCGACACCAATGGTACCAGGCTGTTTAGTTGTTTCTCCTGCCTGCACCGTCTCTAGGGATTTGGCCGAGACATCTTCCAGCAACAGGCCGGGCAACGGCCCCAGCCCAAGGACACCATCTTGAGCTTCAGGGGAGATGGCGACGGACGCTACTCCTTCGGTGTTGAAGAGTTCGGGCGTCGTCTTCGGCAACGGCTGAACCTCTTTCTGTTTTTCACCAGAAATCCCATTTTGAAAGTCAGGAGAAACGGAAACAGGTGCCACTTGCCCATCAGCCTTAGTGGCCGCCTTCTTGAATGACGTTGCGAATTTCGGATCCGTACGATCTCCGCTCAGTGCGGAGAACGAATCCACCGAGCCGTCGGTGAGCCCCGCTGGCGGCGGCAGCGTTATTTTAACGTCAGGCATCTCGAAGCTTGAAGATGAGCCTGGCTCAGCACAGGTATCCACGAGCGATCGAAAGACTTCCCCCATCGTCGGCCGCGCATCAGGAGAAACTGCACAGCAACTAGATAGTGTTTTCTCCAGTAGAGAAGATTTATTCCAGTCCCAAGGCGATCGACCGGATTTTAACGCATCGAATAGTTCGGCATCCTTCTTAAGCGAAGGGAAGGGGCTTTCATCAAAAAGTATCTGCTTAAGTTGTCAAGTGCAAGGAAGTCATGTTCGCGAACCATAACGGCTCACCATGGTACAAGTGCAGGCGAAGGAGTAAACATCACCGAATGTTGTCTTGATATCACTATCAAAGACTTCCGGGGCGCAATAGCGCGAGGTAAATGCAGGTCCCGATGATGTATACCCTGTCGTCAATCCGTCCGCGATCCAAGATAGCCCGAAGTCACACAACTTGGCGCGCTCCGCCTCGCTGATTAATATGTTGAGCTATATGTTTTCAATCACTTTTAAATCAGCTTCCTAGACAGTTCACGTTGACCCACAGGTTTGAGATCGCCGTGGATTACAACAGGGTCGTGGTCATGAAGGTAGGTCAGACCACGAGCGACATCAAGAAGCTATTCCATGGTGTGCATCCTTTCAGTTCAAAAGGCCAGTGTTGTCACTAATACCACTCACCAGGGGCAGCCGATCGCAGGATGGTTTACGACGCAGGTATTGAACAAGGTTGCCATTTGAACACCATTCGGACACCAATGCCGCTTCAAGTACTGCACCGCGAACCTCAATCGCAAAACCGATAAATTTCACGATATTTCCATGGTCTAAGTCCTTCCATGCCTTCATCTCTCTCTTCAGGTGCTTGTGCAATACATGGGTCTCCGATGCTGTTAATCCAGCTGAAAAAGTTCCTCACCTTCATGGTTTTTCTTACTTCCTCTATGATAGATGGCATGTCACTGATAGGTGGTTTGAGGACTTTGTAGCAGACCTCCATAGAAGAAATGAATTGAAAGGTCGACATGTCAGTCCAAGAGAACATACATTCACAGGATCCGGAGAGCCATATTGGACCCATTTTGCACAGTAGACCTCGGAATAGCCGCCTCGTGCAACCAGGGCCTTGGTACCAAACTGGTGACTAAGATTCTGAACATCTCGGATTTCGGATAAAGCTTCCATCACGGCTGACGAAGCAGGATCCATGGCGCGATTGACTAAGACAGGACAATGACTGCGCCCCAGGATGTACAGATGCACCAGGGTGGATCGAGAGGAGGCTCTTTACAAACAGCTACTGCTGCTGAACCCAACTTTTTGAAAGGAAAGCGCTTGATTATTGCTGCAGACAAAGTTGTAACCGATATCTCCTTTGGACACCTTGCATGCCCAAATACGAACACATTGGCCGCCTATATGTGTCGGATTCAAACATGAACACGTTTTCTCCATATTGACCCATCCACGGGAAAATGCCAGAGGCAAACCCAAAAGGCAACAGTATGCGCGCGCACACCGGAAGTACTGCTGATATTTTTCTGCTTGTGCCTTCGCTTTAGTGGCTCCAAATGTATGCCGTGGGTCCAGAGTCGGACCCTGGTTTGTGTAATCAACCGGGGATTTCCCACGTTTCCCAGAAAGATCCAAGATTATCTCAGACGCCTCTGCACTAACAGGCGATTCGGTGCCGCTAGATGAAATCCAACCTCCAATCTGCATTCCCAACTCGAAGTGCGCATGTTCCTGTCACGGACCCACAGTTGAGCAGTGCCTCTGACATATGGTAAGTACAATTCATGGCATGCTGCTAAATCAAGCATGCCCTTGCATTAGACGGGGATCGAACATCAACATGGTGCCAGTGCTATCCCCTAGACACTGTAAGAAACCACCTCTGCCTAATGCAGGCATTTAGTGTAATGGTAACACACTCTTGGTACCTATGCAGTGCTCTGCAGTTTGACTCCCGGAATGTCCATATTTTATGCATTAAGGTTCCTGAGACCACGTGTACAAATTCCAACATGGTGGACATTCTACGGAAGTCACCGAGCACACCCAAATCCGGTTGCTGCCACGTGAGATGGGCATGTGAGGTCAAGCATTAAATTAGCCAGCCTGACAAAGTTTCAGGGGGTGTAGCTCAGAGCACTAAGGACCCAAATCCGGCTGCTTCAGACCACATGATGTGGACATGTAGGAGATTAGCAGCAAGTCTGGCCTGAATATGAATTCAGGGGGTGACGGCTCATGGGCTGTTGGAAGCCCAGTGGTTAGGGTCACATGTGGATCATGGGCTCAATCCAATGTGAAGGGGGTGTGTAAGAAACCACCTCCACCTAATTGTCAGGGACAGCTCCGAAAGCGGCAAGGTCCCGGCGTGCAGGACTCGGTGGGACGAGTAGCGGCTGTGCATAGCAGCGATCTCGTCGCGGGGTGAGCGTCCCCGACCACTTAGTCTGAAGTGGGAATGTGAGAAGAAGGCTACTTCTTTGGTTCCCACTCCAGCTGTTATTATATACATGCAGGATCGGTCATGTGGGGTGCGCCATGTCACCCTCGCACACAGCCACAGCTCTCCGGGTGCCTCCACGGGAGATCCCGAGAGGGCCCACTGTGGGTGCGGGGCGAGTGTGGTGGCGGTGGTGGCGATATACTGAGAAGTCGTCATCTGTTATATGGACGACATCTTGATCTTCACGTCCACCCTAGAGGAACACCGGAAGGTCATGCAGGAAGTGCTGGGAACACTGTGGAAGAGGAAACTCTTCCTCAAACCAGAGAAGTGCAAGTTCGAGCGACGCTGCATCGAGTACCTCGGACTTGTCATCTCCGAAGGCAACGTGGCCATGGACCCGGTGAAAATCCAAGGAGTCCTCGACTGGCCGACGCTGACGAAGGTGAAAGAAGTGCAGTCCTTCTTAGGCTTTGTAAACTTCTATCGCCGCTTCATCAAAGACTTCTCTGAGACAGCGCGCCCACTCCATGTGCTAACCTGCAAAGCGAAGGTCTGGGAATGGGGGGAGAGCGAAGAAAACACCTTCAACACTCTTAAGAAAGCCATCACCTCCGCCCCTGTCCTCGCCTTCCCCGCTGACAGTGAGGAACAGTGAGATACAGGAGGGGAAATGGGCATGCGCACCGGTGATACATTGAGCAGCGGGAAAGGTGGTCCATGTGAGAAAGAAAGAAAGAAAGAAAGGAAGAAAGGGGGAAAGGAGAAAGGAAGAGGGAGAAGCGGGGGAGCGGAGCGAGGGTCGGGCGGGGCATGCCCTGACACTAATGCAGGCATTTAGTGTAATAGTGGGGGTCGGCAATCCATGTTGAAGCGTGCCACCCCCACATGACACACTTTTCCCCATGAAACCTGGCGAGTCCTTTGATCATCTAACAAAGTGCTCAAACTCTCTCCAATCTCTTAATTATTGTTATTAATGCCAATATATGGTCTCTAGTAATCTAAATGGCCAGTTATTTTGAAAATTACTCTGTGGGATTGTGCTGATCAGCTGTCATCATCTTGCTATCTCCTGCATCCTCCATTTCTCGCCCTCTCCTGCGCTCAATTGCTAGCACCAGCTCTCTAACCTTGTCATCCTGATTTGGAATGCGACATCAGCAAAATATTGTTATCCTCCTGAGGACTCCGGAGTATGGAGAGCACTGGGAGAACCAGGAGGAGATTGGCCGGTCCAGGAAAGGCTCATTAGCTCCGGAGTGGTCGATGCATGTAATCTCCTCCTGGAGTACCCTATGTGGGTGATCTTCTCCTGGAGCATGAGTTTATTCCTGGGAGTACATGGGAAATGGTGGCAATGTTAGGACTCCCGAAGTCAATGTCCTCCTGCAAGTATTCCTGGAGTCAATGTCTTCCCAGGTGTATTCCGGGAGTTAATGTCTTCCCTGGAGTGCTGGGGAGTAGCCATACCCTCAGGAGCATATAGCCCATACATTAGCTTCGGAAAAATGGATAATGGAATGTTTATTGTGGCTACTATAACATGTTTGTCACAACTAAACGAGGTACTATTCTCCATCGCGAAGGGCATAGTCCGCTGCATCATCATCATCCATTCCACAGGGACCGAGGTGACAAACCCGCCTAGACATGCTATGGAATTCATCGGAATTAATTAGATTATTGTTAGAGCATACCTCAATTCATCCTTAATATCTTTCTCCAACTTTGTCCAAAGCAGTGGGTGTTCATGTTTCCATGCTGTAACAATACTCAACTGCTTTGCATATTTTGGTCCATAGACTTCGGCCTTAAATTGAGTTTTCTTTTTGGCACTTCCATCTTTGCGGTCGTCAAGAGCACAGATAATCTGTATATAAAAGAGATATTAGTGACATCATCAGGATGGACCAAGTGAATAACAAACAGCGGTAATGGCAAATGCAATAAAACTTGGTTGAATTGTATCAAACTTTTCGATGAACTCAAGACTGGGTGGAGCTTTTCCCCTGAGGTTGCAACCTGTGAAGAATGTGCTCATGACAGACACAATACCAGGGTGTGCAAAGGTACCCTGACGAGGAACCTAATTGGGGAAAAATGAGAAGATGTGTGCTGTCATATCCATCCCCGGCCATCGACTTCCGGTCTCTCCGATCCCTCCGTTCTAACTCCGCTCCCCCCTCACCAACCTCGGAGCCCCCGTATTCCGCAAACCTCTCGGTACCCCTTGATGGTCACCACCCCCTCATTTCAATTTATTACCTACGCCTCCCTAAGTACGGAGCCCCGAAGACTTCCGGACAGCTCCGACGTCCGCTAGCGCACCCCCGCCTCCGCTGGGTGATACACTCGCCTGCCCTGCAGAGCCCACCTTCGGGCCTATCCCTCCTTTCTGTTTCTGGGTTAACGCCTGCCTTTCCGCTAACCCCGTGAACCGACTCGTCGGTAATATTCAGTCGGCTAATGCTTAAACCCCGTTAGCTCCACTCCATTTGGCTCCGCCAATTGCGGACCCGTCCCCGCTGTAACCATATATATATCCCACTTGTACATAGGTTACGCCCCAGTAGAAAAATCAACTAGAGTTACCCCCCTAGGTTCTAAGTGCCAGTCAGTAAGTTAGGGCACGGACGTGTCACTAGGCACAGCGCTCTTGGCAGAAGTCGCTGAGGCCAAAGCCCTCCGTCACGGAGACATCCCTTCGTCTCGACCCTGGTCTCTGACATGTGCGCATTACCGAAGGGACTTACCACAGCAGGGTTCTTGAAGCGAAAATTTCCTTCCTTTAGAAGGTACTTGACTCGCTCTTGAACATCTGCCGATGAGTTGTCACCAGGTGGCACAGAATAAAGATTAGTCAGAACTTTCTCTGCCTGTTCCTTGAAGCGGCCTCGGAATCTTGATATGCTTCCAACAAGCTATCGTACCTTAGTTACTGCGAACAATCTTGACTGTCACACTCACTGCTGTCAGCATTTGTTGAGAAATCTCGAATTGCGATTCAGGCTTCTGCCCAAAGGCACGAGAGAAGGCTTCCCTGGCCAAGACAAGGTGTTGTTCGCGACTGGCAAAAGGGTCCTTCAGTAGAAGATAATAAAAGTGTTGATGGGCAAGGTCCAAAGTATCCATCATAGGAGTGGTCATCGTGACCTTGAGTTGGGCACGAAGGGCTTTCTTCGCGGGCTTTTGAGCCGGGGCTGAATGGACTGAATGTGTACTTGAAGACGATGCAGAGAGTGGTGGCTGGGCAGTGCAGGCTCCAGTGACCTGGGAACCCACAGTAGGGGCTTCAGAGGTGGCACGTGAAGGGGAAGGAGAGAGAGGGTGGGTTTGTGCTTCAGGGGATTGGGGGCATGAGGCAGCATGAATGTGCACTGAGTGGTGCATGCCTAATCACATGTTAATACCGTCCACAAACATCATAGAATAAGTTATATACCGTCATTGCTGGTGGAAGTTGATAAACCTCGCTCCTGCCAGATGTTTGCATCAACAAGCCGAGATGACCTTCTTGGGAAATGACACCTACATCAGCCAAAATAGCATCAAGCTTCAAAAGTTAGCAGTTGATGTGGTAAGATGCGCAAATTCCTTACTCGTGGTACATTTGGAGTTAGATCTATGTCTCTCACAGCTTGGCCATGCCAACGATTGCGTGTCTTATGTCTAACCATAGGGGTGTTCATCAAATGACCTCTGTGGATGTGCTCATCCTGGCACCATTATGTAGCTGTGTTGTCATACAAGTCAGGTATTATCACATACCGGTAGTCCTATTTCAGTAATGTCCAGATTGACTGACTTGGGAGCACTCATGATGTCACAGGTCATGGCAACAAGGGCTTGGTTGTCTCCAGCATGTTCTGCAGCGGACTCGGCAACTGAGGAATTATCCTCATCATGTAAATCTTGTTTGCCGAAGTCCTCCTGACGAGGAGAATCTACAGTTGATCCTGAATAGCAAGCATAATTTTCAATGAAGCTACGGCATTGTTGGTTTAATCTCACCTGGCATTGCAATGATCCTCGACACAGACTTGCGCTGGGCTTGACATTGGCGCTATTTCATCATAATTAGACCCACGATGCTGGTTGGGCATCCTGGAGGAACATACCCATGGAATTTCGGAGGCATCAGACAAGTTATCGGTATCCACTGGCAGACCAACAGCCATTAATGAGTGTTGCTCCAAGCAATGCTTTCACGACATGAAATACCTTCTACTTCACTGTCCTTTCCTGCTGCGAGAGACTTCTTGTGTTATGACCATCAGTATAGATGTGAGGTTTGAATTCCTATGCGGTACACACATTGTATCGGTTACCGTCGCTGTCATCGGGAGCTTCACCTAAAGTGGCAACAGGCAGTATTGTCAGGGCACTGGGTATTGTTACTGCTCCTTTTTCGTACCTTTGTCTTTTCTACACTTGTCTAGAGCCCTTGTTACATGCGTTTCATTAGCGAAATCTAAAATGTTGTGTGCATGAAAGTTTTGAAGCGTTGCATCATATCGTGCAAAATTTGACAGACCTTGCTTGTTCCTCAGCAGAGCACCGGACCTCTTTTGTTTCTTTCGTGCTGGTCCTGTTAATTCAACTGAGTCAACAAATGCGAATGTGAGAGAAATTTCGTCCCCAAGTTACCCGACTCAATGAGTCCATCATCGGATGCTGTTCGCTTCTCTAAATCTATATCAGCAGGATGCGTGTCAACTGAGTGGTAAAGTTTTGACTCCATACTCACCTCCATCAGCTTGAGTGTCATTGGCTTTCCGAGGAATCTTAGCCCTCTTTTTTTTCGACGCTGCCTTGGCCAAAAGCATCTTCATAGTTGGTAATTCTTTTCTGGATGAACGCCGGAGTTCAGTGCCAACACCAGGATTGCTGTTACTGCTGGGTTGAGTCCCTGAGCGCTGTTGTCGTGCCATGAGAGAGAAAGAAGTTAAGAAACTGGAAAATACCACGGACACGTCACAACTATTCGATCACGTGCTGCCCATTTGCTCACGTTGTTAATGTTCAGTTCGCGAGACTAATCACGGGACAGCGCTTACTCAACCGCGAACAATTCTGCCCACTGCTATCTATCACTCGTCCTGCTGCCCTCGCCTTGCTCATGCCAATCTCAAATGTCTTGAACATCTCACTGTGGCACCATCGGCTCAATGCCGCTTCGCCTTGGTCTCACCTGTCTCAGCCACATGGAAGACTATCTTGCAATGTTTCCCATCCTCATCGCGGACCAACAGCCCACTTGGGTTCAGACTGTAAGCTGAACATCCTAGCGCAGACGTGCAGAGCAGGACAGCCTCAACTGTAGTATGATCTTAAACCTAATGCAATAACAGGAACATCAGCACGCTTAAAAGGGTCTCTGACCTATGCCTCCTGTTCCCCCTGCCATTGCCAGCCCGTTCTTCCTCAGTGAGTAAGCACGCTTCAGCCCTGGGTCTGAAACTGCCACCATCGCCTCTAACACGCTCCCTTCCCTACTCCCAGAACTTATCGCCTTTTGACACACTCCCCATTCTCCCCCTGCTACAATATGTACTCAATGTATTCTTAATTTGTGCTTAACGGGTTGCGCATCGCGAGCTCAAATCAATTCATAGGCTGTCCCTTGGCCGTTTCCACTACACCTCACTTTCCATAATTAGACGATTTTAGCGAATCCGGAGAATTAGGATACGACCTTGGTATTTAGAGAAAGGTCTGAATATTAGAAATTTATTGAGGGATAGAACATCAAAATCTGTGAAGAATTGAGCGAGATATAGCAATTTTAATTTTACCAAGTGGTAACGGAGTGGGGATTTTGACCCAACATCTCAAGCCCTCAAATAAAATTTGGAAAAATAGATTTATTGTTCAGGACACTCTCAGAGACCCAGAAAACTATCAAATGACATTAACAATGTGAGAAATCGAACACAAATGCAAGAAAATGATGAAAATCATAGGAAGTTAAATCCACTGACTATCAAGTCATCCAAAAAATTAGGAAAAATTTAAGAATAGAGCGATGGATTTTGAGACACACCATTTTAAATGATTTTTTTCCCTTTTGTTCTAAAAAGAACCATTGCATTCATTTTTCATTTTCCGCTGAAGAACATAAACAATGTAGGAGAAATAACAGTCACTCTATGAAACAATGTTATGGAAATATGCCAGAAAAATACAAAACCCCTGTACAACAAGTAGAAATGAAAGGATAGAGGAGTTTGAATTTTAACAAATTTTAACAAATTTTCATGATATGACAAATGTGAAGATAGAAAATTAATAAAAATACTTTGAGCTTAGCATCAATAAGACAGAATGCTTGGTAAAATTTATAACGAATATTAAAGCAAGAACGAAGTCAATCAGGTAAGATTGACCATGAAATCAACCAGTACACCTCCACGGAAATCACTTTCCCACATCTGTGTCATGAACCCACCTGGGGATAGATCCAATTGCTACCCAGGCAGGTGTGTCTTGTCAAAAACCCGGATCGTAGGGGAAAATGCGTGAGTCCGAATGCAGGCAGGGCTCAACTAGAGGGGATCCGAGAGCTCCGGTAGTGGACTGAAGCTTCTCCAGGAAGTTTGGTTCTGCTGGATGGTACAAGAGGCTCTAAGGAGGACGCGGCCTCAGCGACTTGGAGGGAGCGCTGTGCCTCCATTATGTCTCAGTTAGTCCTTGTATTTCTTATGTCTGAGGTATCTTGTAGAAAGGGGCCGGGATTCACTCAGAGGGACTTGGGGTAGCATTTTAGTCGAGATTAGAACTGAGGAAAACTACAGGTTCTAATCTACAGGTATTTATAAGGGGGAATGGAAGGACTTAGTCAAAGTCCGAATGATAATAGAAGAACACGAAAGGTGCTGAATGATACCGAGAGGTACCGAAAGGTCCCGAACGATATCTTTAACGGGGAACCGAGGTGTTGGGTCGAGGAGGGTGGAGTAAGAGGCTGGAAAATGAATGGGAATGAGAAATGGGTAAGAGGGGGTTAGCTGACTGAATGTAAAGAAGAAGATAGTCGTGCTAAGAATGGAAGGTGACTAATAAGTGATGACGTGAGTGGGGTCATGTCAGGGATGCGTCCGGGGTCGAGAGGGCCCAGGGGTAATATCTGGCACTGAGGCCGTCACGGGGTGTGGAGCGGGCATGCGTACTGGCGGGCCCGATCCGGGACAGTGGTCCCTGGCCACTCAGACTGAAGTGGAGAATGTGTTATTATTATTAAAGGGGAAAACTATACTACTTACCTGAAGTGGAGAATGTGAGAAGAAGGTTACTTCTTCGGTTCCCACTTCAGGTACATTTATGTACATGCGGCTTGAGTCACATGACAGGTGCCACGTCATCCTCGGAGGCAGCCGCAGGCATCCGGGTGTCCCTGTGGGGGATCCCGAGAGCGTCCGCTGCATGCGCGCGTGCTGGGCACAGCGGGAAGCTGTCCGGGGTGTGTGGGCCGGACGGGTCAATAGTACATTGATACAAAGGAAGGTGGTCCGTGTAGATAGAAAGAAATAAACAGGAAGAGGAAGATGAGAAGAATGAAATAAAGAAAGGGGAAAGAAGAGGGAAAAGAAAGGGGAGGAGAGGGAGGAAGGAGGGGGGAGGGGGATAGACAGCGGGGAGCGGGTGTGGTGTGGCCGGGTGGGTCCGGGTGGGCCCGGGTCAGGCGGGTGTGCCCTGACAGGTCACCAAAGGATGCAGGTAGCTCCGAAAGCGGAGTTGCATATCCGAAGGATGTTGGGTGACTCCAATAAATGAAATGGGTGGAGGAATGGTTTAGGGGTATGTCATGGGATGTCGGAGGTCCGTCGGGATATCAGAGCAAATCCGGAGTCTCCGAATGTTCCGACTTGGGACCGAGCTTCCGGGATGGGAGTGGCCAAGGTTTGGTGTGCCACAACCAGACCGGAGCTGAGACAGTCAGGAAGGAAGGTGACCTGGGGAGTGGGGAGGCATGGTGTAGGGGATGGTGAAGTTGTTAGGAAGGTGTGGTGTGGTGGGAGTGCGTGGGGTTGGGATTCCGGGATATGACATGTCTGGTGGAGCTTGATGTTCCGGGTCGTCTGACGGTGGGTCAGAGACAGACTGAAGGTGGGGTGGAGCTCCGAGGGTGATGGGGTGTTGAAGGGACTCAGCTTCAGCGACTCGGAATGGAGCGCTGCACCCATTATGTCCTCATTGTCCCCAATTGGTCAGGGGAGCTGGTGATGGAGGAACCGAGGCCACCTGTCAAAGACTATGGATATGACAGATAGACATCCCAGTGTCTATGCAACATAACAGGCAATTGACAGAACCTTCTGAGGAAAAAGTAGCATAGTTATGGAGCAGAGGAAGGGAAGCTCAGACCAACAGTAAACTGTATAGCCCAAGTGCTTCGACATGCAGAGTCACTGGAGAATAGTGAAACTCCATGGGCATTATAGGAGGTTGATCAGGATGATCTGAGGTGGTGTAAGAGTAAAGGGTGGTGGTGTGTGGGTTGGTTAGAATAAGTTGGAATCTCAAACAAGTCCTAGATAGCCCAAACATACCAAAATTGTGGTAGAGGACAGAGGAGAAAAGGAAAAAACTCCCTGAAGGTAGGAAGAAAAGTGGAGGGACTGGGTATCAATGGCAGAGCATATCCATAGTCGAAGGAAGAGCAGATGGTGGTAGGGCGATGGATTGAGTATTTGGAAGACGTTCAAATATCCATGGCTCAACAGAGCAAAAGGAAAATCAAATATCCAAACACGAAACAGCAACCTGACCGGAGTGTTAGTGAGTTCTTGAAGGGGTGGTGGTCGGAACAGGAATAATCTGGTGTTTGGAACATAGTACTTAAGTCCATTACTCAACAGAATCTCAGGATGAGTACAAAGCCATCAAACAAGAGACTACATCTGTAATGACAGGCATAAACAGATGTTGTCGTAATAGTTTAAGGGTATTGAAGCGGGTCAAGTCGGAGGTCCGGTCATGGCATGCTCATGATCCATTACTCAATGGAGTCTCAGGAAGAGCGGAGCCAGAACTTAGGACTGTAGACAAGTTCCAATCCAATAAGGCAAAAGTGAAGACCCATCAGCAATTGTCGAAGGGAAAGATGTCAACCAAATGGCGCAAAACCAGAGGTGACAAAGGTATGTGGTGTGGAAGCAGCAATGGCTTTCTATCCCGAAGTAGGATGCACAGAGTGAGGAGATCCTTCAAGTCCACCGGACTTGCTAGAAGCAGAGGAACGAGGTAAGACTCGATGGTAGCTACTGGCATTTGCTGAAGATGCAAACAGGAAATTGAGGAGAGTCGACCAGTGGTGAAAAAACTGGAGGAGGACAGAGGGTGATATCTCGGAGACTAATCTGGGTAATTGAAGGAACAGACTAGGTACTACTCCACCTGGTTGATCAATGGATTGAAAGTAGGGGTGCTAGTGGTGTCCTAGAACTCAGGGATAAGAGTCAATTAGAGAAGGTGATGTTCCTTAAAGGAGCGTCCGGGGTGATCCATGCGTTGCAAAGGTAGAGAAGTGGCATTGTCAGCCTAACCACTTGAAAGCAGTGGCTGAATAACAGGGCAAGATAGGGATTGGTATAAAAACCAGATCACCTAAAGAAGACAGAGAGACCTAAAAGGAGTCAACGTCAAGAGCAAAGGCTCAAAAATATACAGGTCAAGGAAAGGTTGGTCCAAGAGAAATGGTACAATGCGAAAGGAGACAGATAAGAGGAACATGGAGTTTTGGTTTTTATGATTTTGATAATGGGAAAACAGAAGACATAGTTAGGAGGGATTCATCCATATTGTCAGAGACCAGGTTGAGATGAGGGAATGTCTCCATGGCGGAGGGCTTCGGCCTCAGCAACTTATGCCAGGAGCGCTGTGCCAAGTAACACGTCTGTGCCCTAACTTACTAAACTGGCAACCAGAACTG